CTATAATCTGTATACTCCTACAGTATATGAGAGAGTGCTAAGCTAGGCTAGGCTAGCTGCAGCTACACATTAGCCCTGCTGGTATAGTGAGCACAATATAGAGCAGTTTCTCATCATCTAACTTTATCCATCTGTGTATAGATGAATATAAAAAGCATTTCACCTAGTTCACATGTAAAACTCAGACCCTGCGCTGGAGTTTAGAAAGCATAAAAAGAACCCAAGGGGTTGTATTAGAAATATTGCTTCAGTCTGAACAATACTATACTCCAAACCTACTCCAGACCTTAATGGAAAAGTTGTGTTCTGAAGCAGAAAAACTATTTGAGTGACATTGATTGTAATGATAGACATTAAAAACATTGCACATATGCTACATGCTAATTGTCTTGAAATTGTAGCATGGTTATAAACTAAGTGGGTATGATGTTCTGTTTAGTACTAGGCATGAGGCGATAACCGGTTTAGGGTGTTCTGCAGTTTCGAAAAAGGTTTTAAAACAGCAAAAATGTTCTGTTATACCATTCCTAAGATATGTGTCCATACGTTTTTATGTGTCTGTTTTTGTTTTTGTTTGTTTTTTATGACAACAGTATCTCCGGCAGAAAAGATCTCAGAAGATGCCTTTTCTGTAGTTGTAAAGATCAATGATTTATTTGAATTATTTAGCCAGACATGTTTACAGCTTCAAAATATTATAAATGTCTCTCAAAATAAAATGTATTGTGTTCAAATTGGAAAAAAGTTTTTGTTTTTTACCCAGACATTTAAAAGGAACATATTTTAGAGCCATGAATACCATGAAACCGTAATAGTTTAATCCAAGGTTATCATACCGTCAGAATCTTATACCGGGCAATGCCTATTTAGTACACAAAGTTATTAAAACTGACATTTTTCAGAACATAATTTAATGATGCTAGTAAAAGTAAAACCTACCTTTTTTTATGCGAAAACACAGTAATTTGTTAATTAATCTATTATATATAAATCCACAGTAAAACACTCTTGTTGCATGTTCGATGGTAAAAAACTGTGAAAATTATTGTGTATATTTACAGTAAAATAATATACATTAATTACAAATAAGTACATTAGTAAATTAGTAGTAGTATTCAACAGGGTTTTATTTACAGTGGACTGAAAATTAGCATCCTCATCTATTTGAAATGTACTTTGCAAAAGACAACTGAAGGCAAAAGAACTTGTCAACTGAAGGCAAAAGGCTAAAGTAAATTCAACATTTTAAAAGTAAGTAAAAATATCATAAATAGAATATTATGCTTTTGTCTAATTTACAGTGATGGCAATAACGGTGCTATAAATATACAGCGTTACTATCAGCGATACTTTTTTCAGTGATGAGTAATCAAATGAATTACTAGTTACCCCGTTACAACGCTGTTACTGTTACTGACAATAAAATGCACAATAATATAATTAAGAATGCGAGACACATAACCAACTAATAATGATGACTGGTGTAACTGAGAATGTGATGATTGGCTTAGATAGAGTACATTTTCATCATTTGCCAATCAGAGGCAGAGTAGTGCAGGTGTTCACACACAAGCACACGCACAGTCAATCGCACACATTAATGACCAGGAGCCAGAACTATGCCAAATCCAACAAGTTCAAAGGTAGCTTTTGCAAACTAGAAATATAAACTTCTCGTTGATGTGAAAGGCAGGAATGTCTATGTTAATATTTATAATGAAATGTTGAACCTGATGGTTGTCTCTCACATTGTACCACAACAACATTAAAATGTAGATTAGTGTAATGGATTATATTTATTTTATAGTAACAATTAGATTTTTTTTAAAGTAACGCAATAGTTTCATTTTCCTGGTTGTTAGTTACTTTCATAATTATGTAACTCAGCTACTAACTAAGTTACTATTTGTAAGAAGTAACTACTAACTATAACTAATTACTACTTTAAAGGAACGTGCCCAACACTGCTAATTAAACAGACCTACATAAAGTAAAACATGTGCCGGCTGTTTCTTCTCCACTTACAAAAGTATGTGAAGGATGTGCAGTTATCTTCACCCAAACTGTGAACTTACAGCTGATGTAACCAGTTTTGTTTCTTTCTTTGTTTAACAACAGGCATTTGCAGTGCACTCTGACATGGCTACACGTAAACAAGGCTTAAGTCTGTCCAACAACCTGTTTAAGTCCTGCCAGTCAGTCTGGTGACCCTAATCCATTACCAACCCATCAGAAAGAGAGTATATGAATGTGTGTCTTATGTACTGTATGGGTGGCGATGAACTAGTTTGAAGCTGCTGGGCTGCCATATGGGACGTGATGTAATTTGTGGGTGTGCTGAATGTGTGGGAGAGGGTGACTGCAATGCTATACTTACAGATGAATAGAGATGTCATGTATGGTCAGTTTGTTTTTGTGAGTTACCCCATTTTAAAGTCAGCACAGTTGCAATCATATTTGGGCATATGTTATGATAGGGAAATTGCTTCTTAAATGAGAAGAGTTGGAAAACTCCAAATGATACACATTTGAATGAACATTTGAGACAGTAAATCACAAAGAACTTTTAATTCAGTTATACATCCAACAGGCACAAGACGTCAACATGATGTTGCATTTTGTTTGGAAATGAAAATCTAGTTGACATAAGAACCCAACGTCAGGCAGACGTCAATACCCAACGTCCAACCTAAAATCAAATATCGACGTCTAATGATGTTACAGCTTGCCTTGAGTGGACATTACCACACTGATGCCTATAAGGCGTTAGATTTTGCTTGCCATACCTGATGAATAAATGTCAGTGTTTGACATCAAAATGAAGCTGGTTTAAGATGTTGGCTCAACATTAGATTTTGGTAACTTTCCCACACAACCTAAAGCCAACCTAAAATCATTTGACATTGTTATTGAATGTCAAAATAACATTGTCCTTTGACACTGATAAGACGTTGAATTTTGGTCACCTAATGTCACAACCTAAATCTAACCTAATATTAACATCTTATGACATTGTGTGCCTGCTGGGTATAAACAAAGGTTTCTTGTGCAATGTAGTTTTACTGTTTGCATCCAGCCTTTCTCAATGTCGTAAACTTGCTCTGGAGCTGAGCTGGTACAGCCTTGCAATAAACATAAACAAGGTAAAATGGCATTGTTGCTTTAGCAAATGCAATTTAATTGCAGTTTTTGGTTATGCGTAGGCAATGTATTTACATCTGTAAATCACTTCACAGGAAGTGGAGACGTCAAATTACCCAGATTGTGCACTAACATATTTAATACAAAGTTAGGTTAAAAATGATTTGATGATCTAGCACTTTTAGTCAGCATGCTTTAACACTACCGCACTTATCAAAATAGAGATTTTAGGAATGGTACTGCACCTGAAATGGCAGTACCTACTACACGTACTGCATTTGAGTTTAAATGTACTACTCGATTGTTAGAAAAGTAAGTTCTAAACAGTATGAATGTGAGTAGTATGAATGGACTCAAATTTTGCCATGATCACGTAACCTACCCTTGTTAGTTACGTCGCTTCACTCCTATTTATAAATTCGCTTGTGATGCATCATGGGATAGCACAGTGTGCATCGGATGCGCACTTCAGAATCTTGCCGGAAGTAGTAAAGTCATCCAGGAACTTCTCACATTCTTTTTTTTATTCTAGGAATTCAGACATACTACTCAGCTCGCATACAGTTTTTAGCATACTATATAGTATGGAAGTATGCGATTTTAGACACAGTCTGTGTGTTTGTGTTAGGTTTAGTAGAGGTGTCATGTTCTTTTTTACGAGTTCTTTTTATGGGACAATTGATGTGAAGCTCATCTGTAATTTGATTTCTGAACTGCTGTAATATACACTTAAACCAAATTAATTAAAGGTTGCTCAGGCTCTTACATTTTTCAAAACACTTTTTGGTGTCTTCTAAACTTTCTAAACTGGACTTTTCATTTTGATGTAAAATTTCAGTGCATTCCACAGCCAATTCAAAGTATTATATAAAATATCCTTTTTTTATAATTATTCATTCATTTTCTTTCGGCTTAGTCTCTTTATTTATCAAGGGATGCTAAAGTGGAATGAACCGCCAACTTATCCAGCATATGCTTTACACAGCGGATGCCGTTTCAGCTGCAACCCAGTTCTGGGAAACATCCATACACAGTGATTCACACACACACTACGGACAATTTAATTTATTCAATTCACCTATAGCGCATGTCTTAGGACTGTGGGGGAAACCGGAGCACCCAGAGGAAACCCAAACAAACACAGGGAGAACATGCAAACTCCACACAGAAATGGCAACCGACTCGAACCAGAGACCTTCTTGCCGTGAAGCAACAATGCTAGCTACTGAGCCACTGTGTTCGCTAATATAATTATATATATATATATATATATATTTGATTTTTGTTTTTTTAAATCAGAGTGCCTGTAAGTTGTTGCCATCTTCGTGCCAGTAAACACATCAGAAAAGAGAAAAACGTGTTGCATGTGTGAGGGGAAGTTATTTTATAATAATTTTATATATTTATGATAAAGTGGAATATATAGATCAGGGGTGTCCAAACTCTTTCCTGGAGGGCCGTGTCCTGCTGAGTTTAGCTCCAAATTGCTTCAACACACCTGCCAGGAAGTTTCTAGTATATCTACTAAGAGCTTGATTAGCTGGTTCAGATGTGCTTGATTAGGGTTGGAGCTAAACTCTCCAGGACACTGGCCCTCCAGGACTGAGTTTGAACAATATATAGATCTATATTGAGCTACACAAATAAATTGTTTATCACGAACACTGCAATATTACATAAAACAACATGTGGCTCCTCATCTTTTTTTATTTGGCAACTAAAATGTTGGTCTACCTCAGGCTCTGTTTCCACCTGCTTTTAACATTTGTTCAAATACTGACTTAACAATCTACAAAAGAGTTTCGCTGAAATTATGCTTACTAGAAAGCCTAATGGGTAAAAAAGGGCATGAAGCTTACCTGTAATCACATGTTGAAATCACTCGTGAAGTATGTGGAATGCATGTGAAACTCTTGTGAAACATGGTTTTGGAAGAAGCACTTCAAAATCACCAGAGAGCAGCAATCTATAGATGTCACAACAAGTTCAAGTTAGTTTAGCAGTTTTTAAACACACACACACACACAGTTTGTTTGAGGCTCTGTTTAAAGTGATTCACAGTTTCGGCCATTTGGCTGTCAGATTTAGATTTTGCACTTGGCTCTTGATCCGCGTCTCAACTATTGCAGCTCTTTCCAGAGTGAACAGCACCACAGCACAAGTGGAAAGCTTGGCCCATACAATAGGGCTCCAAGGGTAGCGCTGGCCACATTTGGTGTGTACAAGCAAACATTTTTTTTTCAGGTTTGTTGTCATGGAGACGAATCTTTTGTGTCCTCTCCCACAAAAAAATGAGGTCACCTCTCGTTCAGTGGGCAGCTGGGAGGATTTAGGTAAAGGCTCTCTCTCTCTCTCTTTCTTACTGTTTTTTTTGTACTTTTTTTAGAGGTAGAGCTAACAAAGTACAAGACGTACCAGAGAAGAGCAACACTCAGATGATCACAGAATTGCGATGAATTATTGCATTGTTTAGATAAACACAATTGATTATATTTCCAAGTAGTGCTGGACGATCTGCCAAAAATGCAATCTCGATTAATTATTCTCCATATTGAATGATGACAATATATATTTCGATATCAGTTGTTAATGCTTCCATGTTTTCAAGAGTTCCCACTTAGATATGCTTGGCACTTATAGCAGGTTTGGCATGCTGTCCCGGGAGAGAACCCTGAGCTCGGAGATATTTGAGCCCAGGGCTCCCGCCCGGTCTAGAAGCAGAACCGAGATCAGGTAGGTCTCGATCGCTCCCCCTTTAGAAGGGGAGAAAAAGGAGGAGATGGGGTGCAAGGGGGGATTCTTCCAAAATGAAGATGAGGAAAAAGTGATCCATTTATACTAAGCTAGGATCATTCTGATTGGATTATTACTGATTACGGATGAGTGGCCAGCAGTGCACAATCATATCACGTGCTCCTCTCGAAATTAGTTTAGTAAACTTCACTTAATGAGTATCCCAACGATAACTAAAGCCACAAAAATTAGAGGGTCCATTAAACAACCTATTTTTAGTGGGAAATAATATTTGGTGGCCGAAAATTCGGTGCATCTCTAATATCAACACACTGCTAGATTTCCATTGTTGCACATTTCTGCTTTGTGATTGGCTCTTAGATCAATATAGAGTGAAAAAGTCTAGAGCTTATCATTGTTATTTATTCTTTTTTTTTCGGCTTAGTCCCTTAATTAATCAGGAGTCGCCAAAGTGGAATGAACCACCAATTTATCTACTTTCATTCACACACTCACACTATAGACAATTTAGCTTACAAAATTCACCTACACTACATGTCTTTGGACTTGTGGGGGAAACCGGAGCACCCAGAGGAAACCTGGCTCACATGGGGAAATCGTTGTCATTAACATAAATTTTATTGCGATTCGATATAATATCGTTTTTCAGCCCAGCCCTATTTCCAAGTGGTGTCAGTCATTAAAAGTTGCATCACATTTCTACACTCACTCCATCCACTCCTTCAGATGAAGCTTGAGGTTTCATAAGAAGATCAACGATTTGGGAAAAGAAGAGGATATGTACTTTTAATGAGTCTATGTTCTTGCCTGTGTGATCATAGATATTTACATTAGATGTCGCCCACGCTATTGGTGTCTATTGAAAGGAATGCGTTAATAGAGCCACCATTTTAGTACAGGGTAGCGCTCCTTTGAAATGAATGTGGGACCAAGATGCAGTGGAGGACTGGCCATCCAGAGCCAGAGATATATACACATTTATACATATATATATATATATATATATATATATATATATATATATATATATATATATATATATATCTGATCGGGAGCTTTCTTGGTGGTCAGGATGCAAATATTTTTTTTAATTATGGAAATTATAATTTTACATAATTTTTCTACAACGATGGATTAGTGAGTGCACGGGCATTGCAGACAAAGAGTGTGTGTTTGTGTGCATGAAAATGTATTATCCTCCCTACCTATTTCATTTGATCTAATTCGTGTTCTTAAACACACCCCCTCTCCTGTTTTCACTTTTAATTCTAACAAAGGGAGTGATTCGTTTGTGAATAAATCTCCATTATGAACGACTCGTTTACTTAGCCGACAATAATAAAAGTTTTTGGCACCGCAGCCAGCTTGTTGTGAATTTTATTTACATTGTTTGCTGATTTTATTCAACCAAACTATCATAAGCTTAGTATTTAGTGTGAGTTGGTGCTACTTTCCTTATGATCAGGGCAGTAAGAGACTGTATTATCATCAATAACGTTCTTTGCTGAGCACAAACGTTTGTGACATATAAAAATGTAAAAAACGAAATCTTACCTATGAAATGTTCTGCCTTTGTGCTTTGTTTTCTTTGTTTGCTTGTTACTACACCTGTACACAGTGCTGAAGTTCAGCATCTTCACATTGGCTTTAGTCAATAAAAGTGAACTAGTGTGGTTGAATGACATTTGTCCTGGGAGCACTGTACAAATGTGGCGGCACTACTGACGCATGCTCAGGGTCCGTATGCGCTATCAAGTGTATTTATCTATGGTGTGTGATTACTTAGTTAAGATGTTTGTTTACAAAAAGAGCGACGCAGTGGCGCAGTAGGTAGTGCTGTCGCTTCACAGCAAGAAGGTCACTGGTTCGAGCCTCAGCTGGGTCAGTTGGCATTTCTGTGTGGAGTTTGCATGTTTTCCCTGCGTTCGCGTGGGTTTCCTCCGGGTTCTCCGGTTTCCCCCACAGTCCAAAGACATGCGCTATAGGTGAATTGGGTGGGCTAAAATTGTCCGTAATGTATGAGTGTGAATGAGTGTGTATGGATATTTCCCATAGATGGGTTGCAGCAGGAAGGGCATCCGCTGCGTAAAAACATATGCTGAATAAGTTGGCGGTTCATTTCGCTGTGGCGACCCCAGATAAATAAAGGGACTAAGCCGAAAAGAAAATGAATGAATTAATGTTCACAAAAAGGATCATCAAAGAATCAAGTTTTAAAATATACCCACAAGGCCACGTGCATGAATTTTACATATCAAACAGGTTACAAATCTGTGCCCCACTGAACCCTATTCACTGGCACCCATTAAATGTGAGATGTCTACATCATAGATCACCAAGGAGATTACTCAGGTGACCAGATCTCCATCTTCTGACATTGGTGTGGCTGGACCTCCCAATTGATTGACTGTGTTCAGGTAACCATTAGGATAAAACAACAGCCTTATTATCTCACACTGGTATTAATCATGTGAGCAGATCAGGCTGCAGATGGAATGCTACAGTTTGGACGAGCATCTGCTTGATATTCGAAATGTGCTGAATATTCAAGACAGAGTGACTTGTTTTGCTGCTCTCCCTTTTCCTGTTTGTTTTTGGACATTTTGGATTCCTGCCTCCATCTAGTGTTGCCTCAGTCAAACTTCTGTCTGAGTTTCTGAAGGTTATGATTGTGACATCTCTCAAAGTCTGGTATACAGAAGATAAGTGTGCGCTTGAGGATTGCTTCTCACTTTTTTATTAGTAAGCATGCTGGCATATTGTAAAATAATTGTTAATAATTATCTATTGAGCAGCACTCACAGCCGGAAGGTCGCTGGTTCAATCATTTGGTGTTTCTGTGTAGAGTTTGCATGTTCTCCCTGTGTTGGTGTGGGTTTCCTCCAGGTATTCTGGTTTTCCCTACAGTCTAAAGACATGCGCTATAAGGGAACTGAATAAGCTAAAATGTCTGTAGTGTATGTGTGTGAATGAGTGTGTATGGATGTTTCCCAGTGCTAGGTTGAGACTGGAAGGGGATCCGCTGTGTAAAACATGTGCTGGATAAGTTAGCGGTTCATTCTGCTGATAAATAAAGGGACTAAGCTAAAGGAAATTGAATGAATGAATTATTTATTTAAACTTGAAGTAGTGTATTGCTTTTGGATTGGAACTTTAAAACCTATTTTTTCTTCATTTTATCATCTCAAATGCAAGCCACAAAAAAAACTGACATAAAAATGCAGAATAATAATTGTTAATATTGTCATTGTTTCTTGACCAAAGGGTCTAGTTTAAAATGTATCTGAAAACAATCATAAACTGAACAGTAAACACTAACAACTCTTTCCTTGATTATATTATATTATATTATATTATATTATATTATATTATATTATATTATATTATATTATATTATATTATATTATATTATATTATATTATATTATATTGTGCTGCACATAAACATTTAATAATTCATTTCAACATTTACTCCTAGAATTTGAAGCAAAGCATGCTAGGAAACAAGCTTGAGAAAATGATACTCAAACCAAACAATTTAACTTAACGAGGGTTTTGTGAGTGAATAGTTCTCAAAGTACAGACGAGATTTTCACAGATTAAAAAAAGGAATAGAAAATGTATTCACTGTCAAGTGGTTTCTTTTTTCTGTTAAACAAAAGATATTTTGAAGAATGTTTGAAACTGGTAATCATTGGCTTACATGGGTGAAACAAATACTATGGAAGATTGGAAGTCAATAGTTACATTTTCATTTGTATGTTGAAGAAAGGAACTCAAACAGGTTTTTGACAAGTTTTTTTTTCAGATTTGGGTTAACTTTCACTTTAAATAAACAAAAAAAAGTAGATTCTAAGTTAAAAAAAAGTGTAAATATTTTTTTGTCTTCTCTTTCTCTCTGTTTCACTCTCTTGCTCTCTTTCTTTCTTTTCTCCTTTCTGTCAAGTGCTTATGCCCAGAGCGGTGATGTCACCTCAGTAGTGCTTGCAGCCACACGAGTTGGCTTGCATACAGACTCAAAGCTATATTCTATAGTGCACAATATGACATAATTGAATTCTTCCCCCATTTTTCATACAGAGAAAGATTACAAAAAGGAAAGTTCTGTAAAGGCTAACTTAGTTTTGCGTTTTGGACCCTACTTACAAAGCCTATTCCTAAAATTGTTCAAATTGTTCAAATAATGTACACTATTTAATCCATAGAAATGGTTTTTGCGTATTTAAAGTCTTTCTTCCTCTCTCTTTCTCTCTCTTTCTCTCTCTATCTAATTAGAATCATTCATTAATTAATTTTCCTTTAGCTTAGTCCCATTATTTTATCAGGTGTCATCACGGCGGAATGAACCGCCAACTTATCCAGCATATGTTTTTACACAGCAGATGCTGTTACAGCTGCAACTGAGTACTAGGAACCATCCATACACTCTAGCATTTACACACACACATTAAGACCAAATTAGTTTATTTAATTCACTTATAGCGCATGTCTTTGGACTGTGGGGGAAACTGGAGCACCCGGATGAAACCCACGCCAACATGGTGAGAACATGCAAACTCCACACAAAAATGCCAACTGACCCAGCTGGGACTCGAACCAGCAACCTTTTTGCTGTAAGGCAACAATGCTAACCACTGAGCCACTGTGCCGTCTAGAATAAAATATAAAGTTTCATCATGATGCTAAAATGGTAGTAATTTGAGTTTTTAAAGTCCCTCTCTCAGACCCCAAACTGAGCATAAGGATTAATGCTGTTTTTATAGGCAGCTCAAGTTTATTTGCAGACCTGTTTGTGAATGTATGTCAAAGCTGCATGTGTAAGCTGACGTTTTTGCATTGAATGTTCTGCTATTTAAAGAGAAATAATGTGAGGAATTTCATTCATTCATTTTCTTTTTGGCTTAGTCCCTTTATTAAACCGGGGTTGACACCGCGGAATGAACCACCAACTTATCCAGCACGTTTTTACACAATGGATGCCCTTCCAGCCGCAACCCATCTCTGGGAAACATCCATACACACTCATTCACACTTATACACTACAGACAATTTAGCTTACCCAATTCACCTGTACCGCATGTCTTTGGACCCGGAGGAAACCCACGCGAATGCAGGAAGACCATACAAACTCCACAAAGATACGCTAACTGACCCAGCCAAGGCTCGAACCTGCTGTGAAGACATTAATATCACTTAAATAGTTTCTTTAACATTAAAGTTACAGTCATATTTATAGATGACAGAATAGTCTTAAAGGGATAGTTCACCCAAAATGCCAATTTTTTCACTATTTGCTATTCTATTAAACAGGAGAAGATATTATGTTCGAAACGTGTAGCCATTGGCTTTTTCAGCAGGAAAAACAAATACAATGGATGTTAATGGTTGACATGTTTCAAAATAACTCATTTTGTGTTCAATAGAAAAAATAAACAGGTTTGTGACAAGTGAATGATGAGTAAATGATGACAGATATTTCGTTTTTAGATGCGCTATTCCTGTAAGGTTTTTTTAAACCTAGGATAATAAGTGTAAGATAAGAACAAATGATTTCTCATTATAATTTTCTATTATAAAACAAAAATAGGCTGCACAGTGGCGCAGTGGGTAGCACGTTCTTCTCACAGCAAGAAGGTCGCTGGTTCTGCATTTCTGTGTGAAGTTTGCATGTTCTCCCCGTGTTGGTGTGGGTATCCACCGGGTGCATGTACAGTCATGCAGTACAGGTGAATTGGGTAGGCTAAATTGTCCGTAGTGTATGTGTGTGAATGAGTGTGTATGGATGTTTCACTGTGATGGGTTGCAGCTGGAAGGGCATCCGCTGCATAATAACATATGCTGGATCAGTTGGTGGTTCATTCCGCTGTGATGACCCCAGATTAATAAAGCCTAAGCGATACTAAGCCGAAAAGAAAATGAATGAAAACAAAAATAGAGTCAAGAGCACAGCTGTAATAGTGACAATATAGTTGGGATCACCTTTATCAGCTGATAAACGATAAAATAAATAAATGATGACAACCAGAATGCATTCAAAAGGGCTTGTGCATTTAAAGGGGTGGTTCACCCAAAAAATGTGATTCTTTCATAAGTTGTTATCCCTTTACTTCTTCCGATCCTTTATGAATTTCTTTATTCTATTGAACATAACAGAAGATATTCTGAAGAAAGCTGAAAATCTTTAACCATTTACTTTTTAAATATTTTCTACTAGTCAATGGTTACAGGTTTTCAGCTGTCTTCAAAACATTTTCTTTTGTGTTGAACAGAGTATAGAAACCCATAAAGATTTGGAAACATTTGAGGGTGAGTAAATGATGGGTATGATGGAATGATAAACTTTTAAAAGCAGCAGATCACATTGTGGAGATTGGAGAATTTCAGCACTCTTTTCAGAGGTCTTTTGAAGATGATCAGTATCTGGTAAACAACTGAATAAACATTGGAAAATGCTGAGAAGTATTAACAGTAGGGCTGCGAAATATATCATTATATCATAATGTGTGCATCCGCAATAGTCATATCACAGGATCTGCAATGTTAAATTAGGATTATAGTTGACCAGGAAGATTTTTACCATAATAAAGCAAAAGTTAATCATTTACATGTTTTAAGGCCTGTGATCTATCTAGTTTAAGAGTTTATGTACCTGGACCAAAACACACACACACACACACACACAGCACACACACAGCACACGTTTAACTATGCACTGTTTTTGCTCGACAAATGTGACAGGATACACGTTAATATCCACTGCTGCGTTATGTTAATGTACAAAATAAACCTGATTTAACATCTTCAAACCAAAATTGAAGCAACTTCTTTAATAATTGTGCTGACATGCGGCTGTGGTGATAAAATAAAAATAGTAAAATTGCTACAATTCATTACAAACATGCACTGTTTTAAAAACGTTTTACACTTGTAAAATTGATTCTTGATCACATCTGATGACTGATGATCACAGAGCGCTGAACAGATCTTTTAATCCCGGTTGCTTTGCGCACATCCTGTTTTGTTGATATGATTATATGCATTACTACATACAAAATATATATATATAAGTATAATAATATCATTCTTTATAAGCACTATTAAACAGCCAATATCTTAATAATAAGCCAGTAGTTAATAGTGGGATATGGCACTTAAACTAAAGTGTTACCAATAAATATTTTGTGGAAAAAATATCACCAATATTTTATTCATGGGGCGACATGGCGGCTCAGTGGTTACCAAGAAGGTCACTGGTTCGAGTTCCGACTGGACCATTATGTTCTCCTCGTGTTTGTGTGAGTTTCCTCTATGTGGTCCGGTTTCCCCCACAGTCCAAAGACATGCGATATAGGTGAATTGAATAAACTAAATTGGCTGTAGTAAATCTGTGTGAATTTGTGTGTATGGGTGTTTCCCAGTACTGAGTTGCATCTGCTACATAAAACATATGCTGGAATAGTTGGTGGTTCATTCCTCTGTGGTGACCCCTGATGAATAAAGGGACTAAGCTAAAAAAATTAATGAATGAATTTTAATCATATTTACATTTACTGTCCAAAAAAACACCTATATGATTCATCCCATATTTAAATACTGCATATAGCAAGAGCTGGTTGTACTGTATATAATAGAGGTTATTTACCTAAAGGGTCTTTGTGGTTGAGCAGATTTTGCTTAGTCTTGCAGTCAGCGTGCTCTCCTCAATTTTTCATTAACAAGACAGAGAGTGTGAAGCACAAGAGCAGGAATGGAGACAGGAAGAGCAGAAAGGAGCAGGAGAAAGAGAGAAATCCTGGAGTAGCTCACATCTGAGGAATAAGAGCGAGCAACTGGGATGCGTTGCCATAACAACCAATTCAGCAGGCCACCTACTAGTGTGTGTGTGTGTGTGTGAGAGAGAGAGAGAGAGAGAGAGAGAGAGAGAGAAAGACAGACAGAGAAGAGGGTAGAGCAAGATGATTTGTGTGTGTGTGTGTGTGTGTGTGTGTGTGTGTGCCAGTGAGCAGTGCTGGATGAGAGTAAAAAAAAGGTGTGCATGAAGCTTGCCTGTGATTGGTCACACCTCTCGTGTCTTTGTGTAGAGTGGAACATGTTGGGTAAGTGTCCGTCGTCAGAGGCGTCTTTTCTGATGGCTGCAGCATAGGAGCTGAGGGAGGGGTTTCTGTGCACCTCCCTCCGTCCTGCTCTCTCTTTCTCTCTCTTTCTCATGTCCTTACACCCGCCACTAAAGTAAAGACAATAAAATACAGAGTAGAAAGCATCTGAATTTAACTCTAGCATGCTGATAGCTCACAAAAACAGCGCTAGGCTAGTAGCTTCCCTGACAGTTATTAATACTCCATAAGTCATTTAGACATTATTGTCTGTACAGACTCGATTTGAACAGTAAGACACAGGCTGGGATATGAGTGCTGGTCCTTTGCCTGCTGCAAACACAAACACACACAGACACACACCGGGAGAGCAGCAGCTCCGTGTGGATGATGTCATCCTATCTGCATCCTGCAGTGTTAGCAGCGCAGCTTCAGACCCTTTGTTGCCCTTTATGCTGTACTCGGACCAGTTTTATGGTTTGTTTTAGCATGGTGAGCTAAGTAGCGAAGTATAGCATCATATTTAAAGGTTAAAAAAGCTGTTCAGTCTTATACATTGTAAGCTTGATGTAAAATATATGATTTATCTTGAAATGTGTTGTGGTGTTCAGTGTACTTATCGAAACACTGGTCTTATTGTGTGTTGTATTGCTAATGCTAATCAGCTAAGACTTCTCCTTAAATAAATACAGCTAACGTGTATAATTTTATGGTTATGATTAAACATTGTGTGTCATTTCACACCTTTAACCAAAATGTACTTATTTTGTATATTAATAAGCATGAAAATGATCCATAATAATATTAATTTTGCTCATCCAGCTGAGGTCTAAATAATGCTGACTCAGTGCTCACCTCATACTGTTTGTATCTTTTACACTGGGAAAAAAAATGTGATTTATGTCAGTCAGACATTCAGCAAATATTCTGCGTTTCCTGTTCACGATGTGTTCATGAAAAAGCACAACCAAAATATGACAATATGAAAACATTTGATGTGCATTTTTGCTTATAATGTAGTGTGTTTTAATAGTAGGTTAATTATATCAAAGTTGCTCTAATCTTGTTATAACCTTTCTATCAGAAATATTAACAAAATGGCAATATGAAAGCATTCAGTGTTTAATATGAAAGTTTAGCTTTCTGCAAATAGTGTAGGGCATACAGTTGAAGTCAAAATTTCAACCCCCCGCCCCTGAATTTAGTTAATTTTTTTTACAGTATTTCTAATACTATTTTCTTCTGGAGAAAGTCTGATTTGTTTTATTTTGGCTAGAATAAAAACAGTTTTTAATGTTTTAAAAACATTTTAAGGTCAAAATTGTTAGCCCCTTTAAGCTGTGTTTTTTCGATAGTCTACAGAACAAACCATCATTATACAATAATTTGCCCTAATTACCCTATCCTGCCTAGTTAACCTAATTAACCTAGTTAAGCCTTAAATATCACTTTAAGCTGTATAGAAGTGTCTTAAAAAATATCTAGTCAAATATTATTTACTGTCATCATGGCAAAGATAAAAATAAATCAGTTATTAGAAATGAGTTATTAAAACTATTATTTTCAGAAAATTGTAATTAAACTTCTTCATTACACAGAAATTGGTGAAAAAATAAACAGGGGGGTTAATAATTTAGACTTCAACTGTATGTTTATTTGAATGACCAGTGAAACACTAATTGGTATTATGTTAAAGATATCAAACTTGCTTAACATTTGTGTTTTAGATTTCTTACAAAAGTACAATGAACTATGAACAAAATGATGCCAATTTTGCCAATGATGTAAAAGATATGTTAATTATGTATGTACATATCTATGTTATTAGATATGTATTTTGAATTACCATCTGGAAGTAGGTCTAAGGGATCTTTTCTGTGCTGTAGCAGTTTTCAGAGAAAAGTGCAAATTAAATATGAGCAATACAACAATATGAAAGCATTTGATGTTTAATGGGAAAATTGAAATTACTTAATTGTTTTAATAATTCACTTTACACAGTGAATAACACAAATTATGTTCACTATATTAAAGTTTCTGAACAGTCAATGTATGAGCTTTTTAATTACCAAGGAAAAGTGTGAATGTAAAATCTCTCTGATGTATTATGTGAATTATGTATATAACATGTTTGATTTGCTGTGTTGTGCTTCTATTAAATTCAATATGCATGGGCATTTTGGGATCAATATTGACGCATGGCCTGGGGTCTTTCTGCCTACGCAGGCAGAGGGGCTTATTGCTGAGTCGTCAGTATAAGGTCACATTTGGCAACATGCAGTCACACACCCTGAATAACCTTCATAGTAAAGTTGTGAACGTATTGGAGCCTGGCCTCAATCTCCTCCTTTCCCTTTACAGGTCCCACATTAATACTATTGGAGGCATCTTGATTTCACAAATTCTTCTGTATGCTTGCTTTTAATCACTGCCACATTTTGTAATGCAACAAACAAATTCTAGGAAAGTAGGACTGAACATTGCATTGTGTGTTTGTCTTTCTGTCTAGGCGATGTATCTCCTATCAGTATGTCACCCATCAGTCAGTCTCAGTTCATCCCACTGGGAGAGATTCTGTGTCTGGCCATCTCAGCCATGAACTCTGCCCGCAAGCCTGTTACACAAGATGCGCTGATGGAGCACCTTGCCACCTGCTTCCCAGGTAGCCCTCCATACACACTTATTAACACAAATATACACTTTAGTGCTGTAAATACACATAGTATTGTTTAAAAACACATGCAAGTGTCACCCTGTCAAAAAATATGTTTGTTGGAAAAAGTTTTTGCCTAATAAACTGCTTTTTGGACAATAGCCACAATTTTTTGGCATTGTTATATTAGATTATAGGTTTGGGCTGTAAAACTGAAAATGGGCTGGATAAACTGTAATATTGGGATATTTCGTTTTTCTGTGAAATTTAGGACCCTATCATACTCCCGGCACAATAAGGCACAAGACGTGCTTGGCATGATTTGTTGCTATTTTCAGAGCAGCGCAACCCTAATTTTCACGTTCTGCGGCATGTTATTTAAATAGCAAATCCATTTGCGCCACTTTGTGGAGTCATGGCTGTGCTGGTCTATAAGGGAGGTGTGTTAAGGCACATTGTTGGTGCGTTGCTATTTTGAAGAACTGAAATAGACCGTGCCGTTGATCAACTGAAAGCTGGTGTAAAGTCCAGCACAGAGCCTGTTAGTTATGTGCCTATACAGGTCCAAACACTTAATACACACAGGATGTACAGCAATAAGCAAATATTTTACATATAAAAATATCTTAATCTCAGGAGGCTTTTATGAAAATTTGCATTTATAAAATGTTATTATTTTTAGTAGTATTACTTATCATAAGTATATTTATGTTTGTTTTAATAAAAACAAGTTTATATTTATCCTCTTGTCGGGTTTTGGAGATGTATGCATCACTATTTGGGGCATAAGAGTTATTATTGTTCATTTATTGTTTATGTGTGACTGAGTTTCCACTGTTTCCGTACTCCACAAAAGTAAAGGAGTAAAGAGTAAAAGTAAAGAGAAAGTCAAGAGGCCGAATGGGGGAGGCTTGTTCTTTATCCTCGTGTGGCAGATGGTCTGTTTAACTGTTTTCTCGCTAATAGTGGAATGTTTAGTTTTTGATCTTACAAAGTCCGCCATTTAAATAGCAAATGCACCATGGCGCAACTGACTCTTAAAGGGTAAGGTAAATAAGACTCTGATTGGTTTAATGCGTGTTATGCTCAAAACACACACATAACTCATTAAGAGAAAAAGCACAAACTTGTTAGACCATTTGCCAGGGTGTAAAGTGTATTTTTTCCATCCTAAAATAGCAAAAGCGGATTCGGACACCCCCTTAATGATTTTGCGCCATGCGCTTTAGACTTTGCACCTAGTTCGTTAAAAAAGAGCCCATATTGCTATATCAAAACAATTGCGTCAGATGATTTAAATAGCTGTTTTTTTATTCTTTTAGAATTATTTGGATGTTTTGGATAATAAACAAACTACAAGATTTATGATTTTTCTGCGGAGTCTAAAAGTATCCAGGTTTAGAAATTGAATAATCTATAATTGAATAATCTGTAAAATAACTGCATGAATACTTTAAATTGGTTTACACAGTATCAGGCAATAAAACTAGTGTAAATGCATTCATTTGTTTTCTTTTCCGCTTAGTCCCTTTATTAATCTGGGGCCGCCACAGCGGAACGAACCGTCAATTTATCCAGCATATGTTTTACGCAGTCATTTCTACAATCATTTCTGTAGAATAGCCCTGTAGTACACCCTACATTGTCCAGCTCTGTTCAGAGAAATCAGTCAATCAAAGTGCAAGGTGTGCAAACTTCAACTGAATGGAGTCAGTCTGCTTTCCCTTAAAGAAGGAATGGGGAAAAAAAGGAACAGAGGCTCTGGGTTGCGTCATGTTGGTATGGCAACTACCACTGTATGATGTAATGGCAGGCAACACTTAACCCTGACTAGTTACAGCTTATCTCTTCCTTTATCCGTTGTGTGTGTGTGTTTCTGTGATTGAGAGTGTTGAAAAGCTGATTTGGGTGAAGTGAGGACTTGAGTGCAACGAGGACACCATGTACCCTGTAGTGGAGTCTACAATGCTGTTGTTCCTTGTCTGTGAGCTACAGGCAATGTTTACTTAGTTTGCGCATGTGATAATAAACACAAAGACATGTCACAAATGAAATGTCTATCTTAAAGTGTCATTTTAGTGGCACATTTATCTGAATAGTTTTATGACAATTAATTCATAACAGTGAATTAATTGATTGTAAAATCAATTAGTTTCTATTCTCTTGTTTATCTGACATAACCTGTGAATATTATGTTCACCTTTATTTGGACCAGTCAAATCAGTGTTAAGTTTGTTAGTTAAAATGTGTAATTGGAACTGTAAATAATATGTGAAATATATATATATATATATATATATATATATATATATATATATATATATATATATATATATATATATATATTTATTTATATATATATATATTGAGTAAATCTTATCAAAAAGGGCTCATTTGGTAAGTGACACGATGGCAGTTTTTACCTTGTTATTACACTGAGGGCTTACAGACTTGATGATGAAAGATGAGGTAATGGCTAGTGTGTCATGATTGGTGGTGACATAAATCAGCAACCAATGCTCTTCTTTTGATTGGCCCCTCCGTAGTTATTTGTGTGATTACACCTACTCAGGGTTAATCCTACTTCTGGCACATCAGAGCTGTTCTGGATAATGCTGACATCGACATGAACGCAGAAAACTGCTATCCCCCCCAAATGCTTTTCCCATAATCTAAGTGTTTGTCTGTTGAACGTCCTCTTTGAGAATGTAACTAGTATTGATGATTGATTTAAGATTTATTATTATTAATTATCAGCAAAATAGATAGTTGTGTCAGCACTTTAATTTGTTCTATAAACATGACATTTACATGTGGTTTTATTTCCTTAAGGTGTACCCACTCCAAGTCCAGAGATCCTGCGGCACACGCTGAACATGTTGGTTCGGGAGAGGAAGATCTACCCCACACCAGAAGGTTACTTCATTGTTACTCCACAGACCTACTTCATTACTCCCTCCCTCATCCGCACCAACAGCAAGTGGTACCACCTGGATGAGCGGCATCCAGAGCGACAGCAGCAGCAGCAGCAGCAACAACAGCAGCAGCAGCAGCAGCTTCAACAACAGCAGCAGCAGCCACCACCACCTCAACAGCAATGCACATCACCACAATCTGGAACCATCACTCCCTCCACCTCTGGCTGTGTACGAGAAAGGCCTAACCCTAAAAATCACTGCGACTCTTATAATGCCTACCGCGATGAGGTGCCAAGCATTCATACCTCCACAATTCAAAGAAAATCCCCAAAAGAACCCAAAGGAGATCCCCCTTCATACCCACAACCCCCACCCCCTCCACCTGCCATTCAGCATCCACCTGATCCCGCCGACAAGAGCAAGACCATGACCGCCACCTTCTCTTACAAAACGGACACACTGACCAAGAAGAAGGAGGGCAGTGGTGGGGGCAGTAGTGAGAGGCAGTCTAAGAAGTTTGGGCTGAAGCTCTTCCGCTTGAGCTTCAAAAAGGACAAGACCAAGCAGCTTGCCACCTTTTCAGCACAGTTTCCTCCAGAGGAGTGGCCCTTGAGGGATGAAGACACGCCATCAGCTGCAGCAATCCCTCGTGAGGTGGAGATGGAGATCATCCGCCGCATCAACCCAGACCTGACGGTGGAGAATGTGGCTCGTCATACAGCTGTCATGAAGCGGCTGGAAGAGGAGCGAGCTCAGCGCTGCAAGGCCAACTCATCTGCACAGCACAGCGCCCGCAGCCGCCGCAGCCGAGGCCATCGGCGTGTGCCACACGGGAAGTCACGTTCGCACAGCAAGACACGGGCTTCTCGGGGAGACCCGTCTGAGGGCTCCAATCTGGACCTGCCAGCAGTCAGCCTTGAGAGGGACTACCGTTTTTTTAGTCACTCTCTGGTACGCTCACCTAGAGAGGGAATGTACACGATGGAACGCAGAGGTGGTGGTGCTTACCTTGTCCACAGCAATCCCAACATTGCTGAGTCACACTTTCCTGTTACCCCGGAGTGGGATGTTTCAGGGGAGCTTGCAAAGAGGCGGACGGAGATGCCTTTCCCAGAGCCTTCACGTGGGACGTCACATTCTAGAGTGCACCGGAGTCACAGCCACACTCAGGACCGCAAGTCACGCAACGAACGGCCTGACAAGGCTAAAGAACGATCCCGTTCTATGGACAATTCCAAGGGCCCCCTGGGAGGTGGGAGCTCCACGCTTGGCACAGCTGAGGATTATGACCGCAGTCCAGATGACAGAAGCCGCTACTATACCGATGATGGGACACTTAGAGCCTCCTCTCAAAAGGCACCGCACTACTCATGCATCATGTTTTCTGCTGCCAAGTTCAGCTCTGAAATGTCTGTAACTGATATGGGCAAAATGAGTCTGGATGAATCAAGGCTCTGCAGCCCTCTAGAACGGAATAAGAGTAGGGACAGCCTCCCAGCGTACAGTGACCTGAAGGCCCTATCGCCAAAGCCTTTGGCTGATGACTACTTCCAGTGCAATACATCGAATGAAACAATCCTAACTGCCCCGCTGCCTCTGGGCAAATCTGACCATGACACTTTAACCCCATCTGATGGAATCCGCAAGGGCTCTCCAGCTGACCGGCAGACACCGCACCTCACTTCTCCACACCCCTTGGAGTACAAAGAGGACTCCTCCACCAAAGGGCACAATGGTTCTGGCAAACCCACACCAAGCCAGACACCTGAGCCTATGCCCAATGGACGTTTGATACAGCACCAACACAACACTGATCCAGGGGGTGGGGGAGGCGGTGGTAGCACTGGTGGTGGGGTGGACAAGAGGAAAGAGATTTTCAGTAAGGACACTTTGTTCAAACCGCCACACAATGTTTTGACTGTGAGCTATGTAGACAGTGGCTACTCAAAGTCAGGCACTTTGCGTAAGACTCCGCACATGAAATCATCTGAGGTCCTTGACACTCTGGAGACCCAACAGCCACCTAACTCCACCGCTTTGTCTGCTTCTGCCCCAGCACCTACAGGCACAGAACAGGGTGCTCCCTCCACATCTGAAGCTGCTTTTGATTATTACAACGTGTCAGATGATGACGATGAGGAGGAGGTGGAGGATACCTCCCGTAAAGAGGCTGCCCCAACAGAGACAAAGGTGCGGGCAGGAGTTGGTGAGGGTGGTGGAGGTGGTGGGACCATGCAGTGGTTGCTAGAACGAGAGAAAGAGCGGGATTTACAGCGGAAGTTTGAGACCAACTTGACTCTGCTTAGCCCTAAGGAGAGCGAGAATAATAACAGCCAGAAGTCAGCTCACTCGGCACGGCTGGACAGCATGGACAGCAGTAGTGTGACTGTAGACAGTGGGTTTAACTCCCCTCGGTAAGTACTCAATCCATAGAAAGAAAATCCTACAAGTTAGGATAAATTTAGGTGCCATATGTTCAAAGTGAGCATGTGTACAATGCATTTATTTATTGCCATACTTTTTATTTATGATCTTACTACTAAAGTCACTTTGCATAAATATTGAATGAATTATTTCGTTAATTACTAATTTCCCCACAAAATGAACTTTGATTGCATTTAATACAGCATAATTATATATGTCTAGGACATAAGAGATAGGACATATATATTATTTATATAATAGTGATTCTCAACTCCAGTCCTGAATATATATCAGGTTTTTTTTAATCAAATTTAAGACTTTTTAAAACCCTTTTAATACCAATATGAATGAAATTTTAGACTTATACAGGGCTAGACGCTAATGATTATTTATAATGGCCCGGTTGGGCGGATGGATTTTTTTAATTATTATTATTATTTTGCCTGCCACAAAAAAATTTAATGTAATTATTTCTTAGCGACATACTTTAATGTGTCAAAACAAGAAAACTCTAGTTGTATACACTATTTTCAACATAATATTACTTACTTTTTAAAATGACAAGTTTAACATTGTTAAAAATATATTTATTGTGGAGGCAATAACATAAATAATCAAAAATATATATTTGTTGGCTTTTTTAGTCTAAATTGATTGAGTATAACTTCTATTCACCCTAATGTATTTCTGTTATAAAACCTTAAGTTTTATGCATATTTATATTATGTCTACTCACCCTTTATTTCTGTAAATATTTTTTGTATGAATAATGTAAAGGGATATATTGCCCTGTTATTATCATGAGGAAATTGTGTAATTGTTTTTAGTTTTCTTACCCTGATTTTATTAAGATGGATTGTTGGTGATTGCATGAATGTCGGCCCAATTGGGTAGCTTTACTTAAACAGAGGAAAATTAAGACCTATTCAATATCATTTAAGACATACAACACAATATTTCAGTGAACTTAAGACTTTTTTAGACCAAATTATTTTTTAATTTAAGACATTTTAAGACCTGGCGGATACCCTGATATATAGTTATATATCTCACAGTGTTTTAACTTCACCTATGATGCATATCTTTCATTTGAGACACATAATATTAGCATACAACGCAATTTTCATATACCAACTTCAACTGTGGTGTAAAGCATGATTTATCCCATTTTTCTTTGACAAGGCCACAAACCAGCACAGACAGCCTTTAACTGGGTTTCCCAGGGCTATGTATGTGTTAGCAGAAGCCCTTTATGAGTGAGAGGGTGAGGACTTTTTCAGCAGCTAAAAATAGACCCCTTGTGTCTGTATGACTCATTCAGAGAGATATGGCAGGGGTAGAATAACCGAGAGAGCCTACATGTTCTGCACATGTGCTTTTACTTTTTTACAATACAATACATTTACATCACAGGGAAAATCTGTAAAATACCGGTCACTGAACTTTGTTAGTTTCCACCTGTATTTTGAATTTAGCAATGCTTTGTGTTTTATTATAATAGTAGAAAATATCCATAAACTTAAAGCAATTGCTAACGGTAATTTTTCTGCCGGTGATGTTTATAATCATATGATGCATATATGTGTTTTAAGCTGCATTTGCTGACTGTGACTCTATACATTCAGTGTATTCTACTGCCTTTATATGATCAGTACCATGTATTGATCATAAAAAGTAAAAAGCCTTGGATATTTAGTAGCGTCACATAGAGAATGATCATTATGCCAACCTCACTCAAGTTTGGAGACTTTTATCTAAGAGTTGGGCTCTGTCCACCCCATGACATCAGTCTGTACATTTAGAGTTTACTCTGTATTAATGGCTCTAAAAAGCTTACGAGACACAAGTGCCACAAATCTGCAATTTTAATACCCCCGGCTGCCCCGTCACTTACTCTAACACTCACACACACACGCACGCCCAATCATTCACTATTTTCTGGATGACTCATCACATTAACGATGATGTCATTCCACGGCTCCTGGAAAAACACCAGCATGGCTGTAGTGCATAGACACATTTAGTTTGTGATTGATGTGAGGTAGTAATGCAATTACACGGAGAGGGACAAGAAAAAAAAATAACTTGCACGTTTCTCTATACAGCAGTGAAAAAGATTCTCTCAGGGTTCTGAGCAGTCTATTTAAAAGATTATTACTGCAAAAATTTCTTATTTTTTAATTATTATATGATAATTATTAATTCATGGTTATAATATAGTTATTATTATGCGAAAAGTAAGAAAATAAAAAATAAACTTTTTGAAAAAAGAAAACAAAACAAACTGAAGGGGTATATACATCACACAATAAAGCAGAGATGCCCAAAGTAGGGCTCGTAGGCCAAAGTTGGCTCATAGTCTCCTTTGATTTGGCCCATCATCCCATGTGAGAAGAGGGGAAGAATGATGGGGATGGTTTTAGATATTGTTAACATAAATCTAATGTTAATATAAATCTAATGTAACCTTTTTTATTGTTAAAAGCCCACTGAAATTAAGTACTTCAATTAAATATTGTAAATTAATCAGATTTAGTGTAAATTCACATACTGTCACCTGAAGGATAGAGGATAACTTTGGTGAGCAAAACAAAGCAAAGACAGATTCTGCTCGACTATTCAGCATTGAACTCCACTGTTCACTGTTATGGTTTTATTGCAATAAGTTATCATTTTAAAAGTTACACTGCATTAGTTAATACAATTTAAAGTAATGTTTTTTTTGTTATAATAATTATAATATTTTTAAAGATTATTAAATAAAGTAGGAAATTACCCATGGCAACCTTAATGTAATACAATTTGGTACATTTATCTTCGGCCCACGGCTCATAATGATATTTGGTTTTTGGTGCTTCATATGAAAACGTTTGTGCACCTCTGCATTAAAGAAAGATTAGATTATATAATTTACAAATTTCAGTTGTTTTAAAGCCTTTTTTGTAAAAGAGTTAAAAATAGCTTTAAAGTAATTCTGCATTTCAGTAAGGTTTTTTGGTTTGTAAATTTACATTTATATATAAAGTTTTGTTAATAGGATAAGAAGATATATTATTTATTTTAATGTAAAGGTTCTATTTTGTAATTAACAAAACATAGTAAGGAAAAGTCTTTTATCAACATCCTCAGTGACAAAAAAGGAAAGATCTTTCCAAAGCAAATTAAAATAACTGCTTTGCTAAATTAAGTGAACTAGGGGCTCATTGTGTTGCTTACAAAAGAAACAAAAATGTCATCATTTACTAAACAATGTGTCATTCCAAACCTGTAGGAATTTACTTCTTTTAATATATTTACAATGGAGTAGGGTTGTCGCGTTACCATTAATTCATGTTACGATACTATGCCAGCAGAAGTATCATGATACCAAGTAGTGTTCCGATACTGTAATTCATAACTGAAATCCATAAAAAAAGAAAATGGTCAGAAATACGATAACTTATGTTATAATAGGCCTACTTGAATTGAATTATGACTCCCTTATTATTGAAAAAAGTATTTGCATGTCACTTCACCTAAAATATATTCATTCTTTTTGTTTATTTTGTAGATAACTGACCAAATAAAATAAATTACAATAAAGATACAAATTATCCAAATAAAATTTGTAACAAAAAGAGCTTTTTCCCAACCAAATTAGGGTTTATGAAGAGTGGTCAAAATGGTTTTAGTGTTTCCTGTATCTATTGTTTCTTTTTTTTCATTCTTATCAGGTAAGAAGATTTTTGCGGTTGTTGTAAACCAAATCATATTGATAGGAGCAGAAATGAACTGATTCAGATTCAAACTGAAGCATCGGAAATGTGCAATATGCTACCATAAAAGGCGTGAATTCTACAGTTTGCAACCTAAAGGGCTCCACAGACTATTCAAATAAAATAGTCTATTATTGCACAACTATGTGAGCATTTTAGTAATTTCCACATGCAACATTATGTATTGTAGATAAATCATTAATGACGATACTACCACTTACAAACTACAGTTGCACCGCCAGTATTTTAGAGCCATAGTATCAGGATACTATATAGTACCAGTAAACCGTGCAACCCGACAGTGAAGTGTGACTGGTGAACACATTTGTTATTTTCATGTGGTCATAAGTGCTATTTTAACAGCTAAACAATCCTGCAAACCAGTTTGAAATGACAATTACCAGAATATTACATTTCTACCTATGTTAAACAACTGTTTGTATTTTTCATATTGCTGTCCAAATATTGCACTAACTGTAATTGTTCCATGTAAATGTATGACAATATTTGAATGTAAATATTTAATAGAGCATTTTTATTATCTGAAAAACATAGAGGACATATACAGTGCTCAGTGTAATTGAGTACACCCCACTTTGAAAATGAATATTCTGATCCATTTCTCAGTGAATGTGTGATGTGTTCTGGTGCATTTAAACATAACAGATTTGTTAAACATATATTTATTGAAAATAATATTTTTGTCACCAAACCTATAAGAAATTAAAAGATAATTTAATTAAATTCAAGCAAAATACTGAAACAAAAATTATAACCTTCAAAATTTCAACTAATTTTTCATTTTATTTTGCTTCTCTTGATTTTTCCCCTTTTTAAAATTTGTATGTAATATTTTTCTTTAACATATACATTTTGGTGTACTAGTTTTTGGACCGTTATTGTAAGTTATTTTGCTAGAGAAGCTTTAGATTTGGCTTCAGTACTGACTAATCTAATGTATATGCACAAATATAATATTGTAAAGCTTCCTATTAAAAATATGAATTTAAAAGAGAGATTTGTGAGGGTTATACTCATATATGCTGAGCACTGTACATGCTGTGAAATATACTCTTATATATAAAGAGACATCCTTATTTGTGTATTATTTTATATATTGTATTCTATTAAAAATATAATTTTTTATATTTTTACATTTGTTATATCAAATTATACATTGATGGTGATTTTCTTACCTACCTTGTTTTCTCAGCACACGGGAGAGCCTGGCATCCAACACCTCAAGCATAGTGGAGAGCAACCGGAGACAGAATCCGGCACTAAGTCCAGGCCACATGGGCACCACCAGCATCGGCCCTCCATTCAGCTTCCGTGCAATCCCAGAGCCCCCCACAACACAACCTGAGAAACTGCAGAAATCCCCCAACTGCCTTGCCTCCATCACCAGCGTCTGACATGGGCCCGTCTGGGTTGACGTAGGGTCTAGGTGATTTGCAATGATGGGGTGCCTAAGTGCAGGAGGGTTGGATAACTCCCTCCATCAAGCACCTCGACTACATGGGGACTGTTAAACCCACAGGCATGGCTTCCAGAGACTGTTCCTACAGCATCAAAGGTCACTGCAAAAAAAGAAAAGAAAATAAAAATAAGGGAAGAAATGGAAAAGGAAATTTCTCATCATAGGATTTACCTTAACACGCAATTAATCAGGAAATTCTTCAGTCGAATCAACAGTTATTTTCATAATAGGCTTGAAGTAACTGCTAATTTAACAATGTTTTGTTTTCAGAAGTATATTGTTTTCATCAGTCACAGATTACGAGCCAATGAGATCATGCAGCCAATGGATTACGTTTGCACGCATTAAGAAATCGATGCTGATGTGCAGGTCAAAGGTATTCAAGATTTGTGATATTTGTATGCAGTACAATGTTAAAACGATCATGATTCATAAATCTGTTAATATTCCTAAAAATAAACCCATTTGTCATGGCACTGTTAGATACATTGGTAAAATAAGAGTCATGCTCACGTGCTTATTGAAACAACACATGCTGAATTAGTGAGAAAAATATGATCTCCTTCTGAAATTAAAAGATTTTCTTTTCTTGCTTTTTTTTTACCCAAACTTATGTCGCATACAATTACTTTGTATGCACCTTGACGTTTCATTAAGGTTCATAATTAATCTCAGGTCATGAATAGTTAACTCTCCTAAGAAGAGGTAAAAACATTGGTCAGTCTGTAATCATGTTTCTGTGGATGGTTTCACCAATCTTTGTTTCTGAAGGGAATAAAACTCTTGCTCTCTGTGGACAAACATTAGGGTCAATTCTGAATTGTTTTAATGACGTTATTCCCTTTTGAAATAAAAACAGGTGTGTGTTTTACGCCAGTGTGAATCGGAAACCTAGTCTCATGAACCAGGACTCTTGTGGATGTCATGCTTGTCTTCTGTGTAGCTTGATGGCTCTGTTTGTTGTCACAAAAGGAGGAGGAGGATGTTGGAAATCGCAATGGTGAGAATGACTGGTGTTGCGTCTAAAACATCCACGACACTCCGAGGAAAGCTCATACAGTTCTCTTCCTTTGGGCCTGTGGAATTCAGAGACTCTGCCCTTTTGCTGCTTTGAGAAACCTTTATTTTCAAAGATTTTCTTACTTGAGTTGAATCCAGACCGCTATGGTGTTTTATTTTGTTTTTGCATCACTGTTTTCCTTGGGAATTGAGCTGGTTTCGGTCAGTACTCAAACCTAAATGGAACGAAATGGTTCAAAATCAACACATTACATGTATATTCACATTCCTCCCCAGCCGTATCAATAAATGCTTATTTTAGGTTGGAACAACTGATTCAATGAAATTATGTACGAATAATTTTCTCCACTGTTCAAAATGTCAGAGATGAAAATCAGATTTTGACCTGCCGTGTGGTATAAGGCTCACGACCATGAGCAAAAGCCCCTATTCCCAGATTGAATTAAACATTAAAATTCTTGCTTTGAACATTTGGACTATGGCTTTAACTGTTTGGTGTAGCATCTTAAGAATGCACCAGTCGTATCCCTGAGAAAAAGTCACATCTATTACTGCAATTTACCATGTGGTGATTCTTCTTCTCCCTTTTTACCTTTCATTTAATTTGTCTCATTGGCCATAACCTTCACAGATCCACTGCTCGGCGATGTGTTCAGGTGGATATCCTCCAATGGGACTTCTGGTTGTGTTTGAATCAAAGACGTTAAACCACTTTCAGCTCACTCCCAACTATTTTTCCACAGACACACACATACACAGCCATGCAAACTACCCTACACCCCCACATACATGCACATAACTAGCTACCTCCACCACCTGTGTAACAACAAGGTAGGGACGTGTACAGATTTGGATTCTTTGCCTGTGGAACACAGCGCTATCAGCCTCTTCTCTGTGAATGTTGACAAGGAGCGGCGGACACTGTAACTAAGAGGACTTATTCTAAAGTAATCAGTATTAAGTGCTGTAGTTTCAACTCAACTCTATTTTTTTTTCTTCTCAGTTTTTCGACAGAAGTGTCTTTTACTTATTTGCAAGTTGTGTATAAATCTGTCTGGCACCACATCAATGAAACATTTTCAGTTTTATGTTTTGTGTATGACGCCATTTTGAGTTGTCTGCTGTCCCCCTTCACGTGGGTATTTCTTTATTTGCTTTATGATTTCAGGCCCAGTTTGTTAAAAATGCATCAAGATGGAGATCAATCAAGGGACTATGCTTTATATGATAAACTCCAGGCAAACTCCAGTCAAAAGTACTTCATCACTTTATGGCAATACTGATATCTCAAGTATTGTTTTCACATTCCCACCTAATATGTGAGAGGTCAGCGGTTAGGGTCCAAACAGCCTCTTAGACCCTGTAGTTGGAGGTGGAATGAAGATTGAGGAAAGACGAGCCTCGTATATTAAATGATAATTTTATATCATTGCTAGACATCAGAGACAGAGCAAGCACCTCACAGCATCTGCTCTATAAATAGATGCTTTTCGAATCATTTCAACAGAGCTTTACTCAACACAAGTACAGTGCGCTTTAGTTATCGATACAACTCTGGAGAATTTGAATACTGACAAACACATCACTTCCTTTACTTGGCAAGGCTTTGTAAGAGGATGCATTTTGGGTGTCTGTCACATTCGTTTTGATTTGAAGCCCCCTCCTTCATCAGGTAATCATTTCTTTCTTTTTATTTTTTTTAATCACATTAGTTTTTGATAGACTAAAGGGAGTAATGCAGCCAAGACTGCCTTGTAAAAAAAACAAAACAAAAACAAAAAAACGTTTGCACTGAAATGCCTGGCCTCTGGTTGCTGTTAAGTCCATCCAAGACGGATGCTTTGTTTATATTGTAAAATATTTCATATGAAATAAAAATGACCATGAAATGTCTTCCCTTAACATTATGGATTTTAGAACCACGTCAGACAACATTGTTTCTAAATGGTGACAGTGTACAGTATCATACTGTAAATGAAATCAATCTGCCATGCTTAGTATAACTTCAAAAGAATACTGAAAGATATGAGGGATCTTTTTGTAATGTCTATAATATTTGAAAAGAAGTCCCTATTTGTGTAGTAATGGTGTTTCATCGTTGTGGTAGTGTATGTGATAAACCCAGTTGGGAGATTGTGTTACTTTTTCAGACAATAAAATAACATGTTTGGTTATATGTTTTAAATGTCTTGTGTCTTCAAAACTTTGGCATATCTTAAGATGGTGACATGCGAGTAGGCTATCTGGCTGGCACTTAAACATTTGGATGCTGACTTGGTCAGAATCAACTGTAAAGCATTTCTCTGTTATCGTTTACACATTTTACAACAGTTGACATGCAGAAAAGTGACTCTTCTGGATTTTATGTTGGACAAAGCCTGTGCAGTGCACTGTCATGCAATTTTTAGTCACATGTGCCTGGATGCTTAAAGCTTCCTTTGCTTAACAGTTTACATCAGGGGTGTCAAACTAAGTTAAGTTTCTGGAGGGTTGCAGCCATGCACAGTTTAGTTCCAACCCTGCCTCAACACACTTATCTGTACACTGTAAAACCCAATGGTCAACCTTATCAAATGAAATTAGTGTTGTTAACTCAAAATTGACTGAAAGTTAATTGTTCTCATTTGAAGAGTTTTGACCTCGATGTTGAAGGTAATCAGTTAATTAAATACCTACTTCAGCTTAAATGGAGTAAGTTCACAGTACTCATATAGACTAGTTTTTTAACTCATGGTTTATAGCAATCTGTTTCCTCAAATTGTTTGAGTTGCCTTAACTTACTGAGTTTTACAGTACTCAGTTGGTTTGAGTTCTCTTCATTTATCGGGTTTTACTGTGCTCAAATTGCTTAATTTACTTAAATAGATTAGGTTTACAGTAACGTTACTCATTAGGATTAGTTTTTGAACTTAAATGGTTTGTTACAATCGGTTTCCTCAAACGGTTTGAGTTACCTTGACTTTTTAAGTTTTGCAGTGTAGGTTTCAAACAAACCTGAGGGACTCAATTAGTTAAATCAGGTGTGCTTCATTAGGGTTGTTACTAAACTGTGCAGGACTGCGGGCGGCCCTCCAGAAACAGAGTTTTCACCTGGGGTTTACATGAATAAACAATATATGCTAGTTAATGTAGTTTGCTAGCATAAAGCTATAGTTTGAACTGGATATTATCAATAAACGACTGTATTTTTATTAACAGACACTCACCAATATTAATAAATGACTTTAAACAATGCTCATAGTTGTTAGAAAACGTTTTACCAAATGTTACTTGTGATATGCTGCTATATATTGTAGACTATCACTTCATACAATGAGCATTCGATGTCCAAATATTGTCTTAAAACATTTTGATTCAGAATTTAAAAACTGAGCAGTATTAATTTAACATACCAGGAATTGTAGGGCTTCACAGATAACCGTCATGGTTGCTTGTCATGAGGCATGTCTAATTAACCGAAATGTATTACATTTGAGAGTTTCTAGTCTAGATTATATCTTGCCACCACCTAGTGGACAAACAGCGCACAACAATTTACAGAATGGATATGTTACAGTTCTGCAAGACGGAGAAAAGAATAAAAGCTTTTCATTTAAACAGGTAACCTGGCTATAACAACTGCTGTGAGGTGTGCAATTAATGAAGTGTTAAAAAAGAAACCCATTAACGTCATTTCTCAAAGTAAATTTTGTGTGATTTGTGTGCTGAAAGGCCTACTTGCAAATGACAAACTTATTTAGCGTAGAATTATGCCTTCATTTGCATAGAGGACAGGTGGTAAATATATTTAAAAGAATTGCAAATATTTATTTATTAAATAAAATATATTCGTTTTTTAAAGAAAAAGTAGGTCAGAGATGACCAAACTTGTTCCTGGAGAGCCGGTGTCCTGCAGATTTTAGCTCCAACCCTAATCAAACACACCTGAACAAGCTAATCAAAGTCTTACTAGGTATACTTGAAACACCCAGACAGGTGTGTTGAGGCAAGTTGGAGCTAAACCCTGCAGGGTACCGGACCTCCAAGAACGGGATTGGTGACCCCTGCCTCTGGAGTAGGGCCTAATGCAGCTAAGAAGGTTGCTGGGTCAGTTGTCATGTCTGCATGGAGTTAGCATGTTGTCCTTGTGTCCACGTGGGTTTCCTCCAGGTGCTGTGGTTTCTCACACAGTCCAAACACATGCAGTAGGGGAATTGAATGAACTAAAATGGCCGTATCTATGTGTGTGAATAAGTGTGTATGGATGTTTCCCAGTGTTGTCTCCCGCTGTGTAAAACATATGCTGGATAAGTTGGCATTTCATTCTGATGTGGCTACCCCTGATGAATAAAGGGACCAAGCCGAATGAAATGTCTTCCCTTAGCATTATGATTTTAAAACCACAGCAGACAACATTGTTTCCAAATGGTGACAGTGTACAGCTCCGGTTTCCCCCACCGTCCAATGACATGCAATATAGGTGAATTGGGTTGGCAGAGTTGTCTGTAGTGTATGAGTGTGCATGGATTTTTCCCAGTGTTGGGTTGCAGCTGGAAGGGCATCCGCTGCGTAAAAACATGCTGAAAATTTGTGAGTTCATTCTGCTGTGGCGACCCCAGATTAATGACGGGACTAAGCTAAAAAGAAAATTAATAAATTAATTTCACTATTAAGCATAATGTGTATTAAATACAACTTATAAACATTGTAATACACAAAAGCAAATATCAGTTAAAACTATAAATATACCGGTCTCATTAAAATATTGTTTCAATATGCAGCATTAACCCAAAGACTATGGAGGAAAGGGACTTTGTTTTTCTGACCTCACTGACTCCTCCAATCCTCCAGGCGTCGCTGAAGACGCCACCGGTGCTTTTGTCTGTTTAGACTCAACCCACAAAAAAAGAAGCAGCTGTTCCTAGCAAAGTTTAGGTTAAAGTTTTTCGCCGGCGAGTAAATAATACTTTTAAACAGATTTACTAATATTGTGTCCCCTAGAGGCGACGTACGAGCCATGGCATACAGATGTACGTGTAACTGATGAGGATCAAGAGTAATGGACAGTGAGTAGAAGATTCTTCCTTTGTAATTTTGCGCTATTGTTGCTGTTGATAACGGGATGTTCATCTCTTTAACTATTCAGACAAACGTATCCAGATTTAAAGCAGAAAGTGTTTGCGTCAATTGAAAATAACTGCTGTTGTTCATGAAATACAGGATTATAGATTTATAGTTATTATTGTGTTGTTGCAGATATGATACACGCTTCTAGACATATTTAGGGTGGATGCAAACATTGTGTTGTTAAGAACAAGCGGAAGAGTGTGTCAGTCACATGCTTCCTCAGGGCAACTGTTATGTCATACTAGGGCTTTTCTTCCACATCTGAGCCTACATTATCCTCATCAGATTATAAATTAACATCTGTTAAATGTTATAAATCCAATTAAATATTGTATTGAGCTGAAATACTAACAGAGATCACATAGGTAAATGGTGAAAACAGCTAATAGTTGTCCTTACAGCAAATCCAAAGAGTTTTTTCTGTTTTCACCAGGGCCCTTCAGGATGCAGTACTGAAATAGTCGAGATTTTGAAAAAACGTATTTCAATAAAAATAATAAAAGCTAATAATAATAATATTTATGATCAATTGAGGATTTAACATCTGTTAAATAAGATTGATCAACCAAAGATTCAATGATTTCATGTTTTGAGCTGAAACGCTAACAGTTTTAATCAGTGTTAATTTTGAAAGCAAATTTTGATTTAGTTTTAGTCTTTTCACTAAAATTCCATTTTAGTTTTAGTCATATTTTAGTCTTCTGAATCATTTTCGTTTTAGTCGACTAAACCTACTCTTATGATGTTGTAAACACATTCTGCGTCTACTGTGGATCAGTTACTTTTCAAATGTGTGTGCGCCTCATGCATCACACACCAAGATTAATTCTGATAGGATATATTCCAAAAATGTCCCCAATCACATTCTCGTCTCATTTTTATTCGTCTATGAAAATATTAGTATATTATTATTACAGTTGTACTGTTGTAGACATCATCGCTTAATTTTTATATAGTTTTTGTTGGTAGAAACTTATTCGTCACAAAAATAATGACAAAGAAAATTTTCTTCAACGAAATGAACACTGGTTGAAATAGAGCAATTCCAGTGTTATGGATGTGACATTTGCAGTAAAATCTCAAAATATAAATTGACAGAAAGTACATGTTAACATTATATTGAAACATCTGTTTATATTTTCCTAAACGACTAACCACAGAGTTGTGGGTAAGGCCAGACAGAATCTGCAGACATTTTTTGCTATTTCTGCACAGAATTTTGATACAAATCTGCAGATTTATGCGGAATTATTTTGGGATGTATCATAACTAAAAACATAATGTATAAAATAAAAATAATACCTTTTTAACTTTTATATAATGTTAACAATGCAAATCCAATTAGATCCACTTATTTGGTAAACAAATTAAGTCTATCATATAATACATCTAATAAAGGACATAAAATATCACTTTTCAAACTGTATTGTGATTAAATCATGTGAACATTTTCATATCAGTCAATAATATTTCTGAAATTAATATAAAAACTGAATAAAAGTAAAATTACAAAGTAAATAGATAGACTCAATGATGGGCTAAAAATCTGTGGAAATCTGCAGATTTGTACACGTGCAGATTCCGTGTGGGCCTAGTTATGGGATAAGAAAAATATTATTCCGTAAACACTTTTTATATTTTAAATATGGGTATTTAGCATGCGTTATAGATGTGACCAAAAAAAGTTAGCGAGTTTACAGTATACAACATACTTTGTATAAATTCTGTGAATGAAACTGCACAACCCAAAATAAATCATGCTAATTGAAAGGATAATAGCTGGCTCTCTATAAAACAAACATGATTGTTCTTATTTTATTTGACGTTTTTGCATTTATGAGCAAAAAGCTTGGTTATGTGACATCTCTTCATTATGGATGTGACGGATGTGAAATTTACTACTTGTGTGAATTTAGTAAATCAAATGTAACAGTTTGAAAACATTGACAGACATTTTTGAGACTTTTTGCAGTACTGTAAAATACAGGCCTACACAAAAAAACCTAGAAAGGATTTTGCTATTATGCTGAAAACCTTTTTTTTTTTTTTTTTTTTTTTTGCTTTGCACGGTTGACATTTGCGTGGAATTGATTAATAGTTAATGTTTAAAACAGAGTATGATGGTTTTATGATTTTTTTCACCAAATGTTGTAGTAGTTGTCCAAATTAACAAATAAAAAGTATGAAAATCATCCATTATCATAAAATTATTATTATTAAAATAAATATTTTAAAATATGATTTAAATAACTTTTTCATTAAATAGACAGATATATATAAAGACAAAATGGATTAAAACTAAAAAAAGTACAACATTGATTAAAATAAATAAAAAAGATAAACAAATTCACTACTGTTGAAAATATATTCTTTAATTTATTTATTTGAATTTTCATAATGCATATTTGATCATTATACAAAAAACAAGTATAAAAGTATGAAAATCATTCTCTTATAATAAAATAATGAACACATCTTTAAATTATTAAATAGAGATACATTTGATTAAACACAAATAAATACAGATTTGATTCAAATTAATAAAATATAAATGCATAAATACAGCACTGATTAATAATATTTTTTATTCATATTATAAATAGGATCTTTATATATATATATATATATATATATATATATATATATATATATATATATATATATATATATATATATATATATATATATATATATAAAAACATTTTAGAACAATGAAACACCTTTTTTTTCCTTTTATTTAGTAGACCAATGACTTTGAACAGGTCTGTCCATTAGCCACAGTGTGCATCTCTGATTTAAAGCTGGAAAAATAGCTTGCCTTTCTTTCCTTTAAGTTTTTGGTAGGCTCGGGGATGCTATGAAGAGGAATGCTATAAAACCTGAGCCATTTTAGCAGCTTTATTTTTCTTTTTTGAAACCATTTGAGAGTTTCCTTGGCTGTGGTTGGTGTGTTGCTAAAACATCAACCCTGGTTTCATCTTCATAATCTTCATAATCTAGTAATGTAGTTATTAAAACTGCTACACTAAAGCAGCTACAGTAATATTCATTTACACTGACGAGGGGCAGGGCTGCTTAATGACTACTGAAAGATTTCCGCTGCTGTCTGGACTTTCCATGCTTCTACACCTCCCTTTCTTTATGTGTTTAATACCTAACTTCATTACTTTGGTTGTTTTTGACATCTGGTGAAGATTTCAGGTTAACATCTATATATTTTCTAAAGAATAAAATGGTGTAGACTCGGGAATGCTATGAAGAGATTCTGAGAGAAATAAAATGTTGTCGAAGGGCAGTCAGTTCACTGTTCTGCATTATAAAAAAACTTAATGCCAGAACTAAATTTTCTCTGATCTTCGCAGTGCTTTTCACTTAACATCTAGTCAGCGTCTGAGGGCCAGTAGCAATGGGGACACAGTTCACAATCGATGACGCGTTCGTCCTGGAGGGGGAGGAGGAAGGTGTGGTGCCTGAAGAGGATGCGGGGGAGTGGAAGGGCAGAGAGAAAGACGGCAGCGGAGAGATGACATTTGGACCTCTTTCTTTTACCAAAACACAAAGTCATCCTTCTGGATCTGCCGGCACTCCTGAACACAGCAATCTGAAATATCAGGTTGGTGTTTTCACTTATGTCAATTTATCTTTTAGAATCTTTTATGGGAAAATGTGTGATGTATTATTTTGCTTTCACCCACAGAACCTGGAAAATGAAGATGCTTTGGGTGGCACTGTGAACTCCTCTTTCAATAACTTCTTCAAAATCAGGTTTGGCCATTCACACTATTTATTTGAAGGTTTTAGCTTTGAATGAAATAACTGTGATATATTGTACAAAATAAATGATGGGATGCACTAAAATAGTTAATAATAATAAAGTTATTAATAAATAAAGTCAGTGTAACAAATCAGTAAAATGATTTGGAATTGTCAGTGTTGATGGATTTATCTTATCATTATTAAACACTACATTGCTTGATCAGGCTTTCTAAATTCTTGCAAAGTAAATGTTGAAGCAGGTTGCATATTCATCTCAAAAATATGTTAAATATATTCTAAGAAAAAATATACTAAATTGTTATTTGGAGTAATAGTTAAATACCCAGCTAAGTTGTTCAATATTTAATATCATTGTTATCGAGGTTATTACATTAATACATATCTTTTGTTCCCGGTGTTGGTTTGCGGCATCCGCTGCATAAAACATACGCTGGATAAGTTGGCGGTTCATTCCGTGGTGGCGACCGCTGATTAATAAAGGAACTAAGCCGAAAATAAAATAAATGAATGAATAAAATATATTTTTTTATATTTTCCTTATCTGCCCAATTTTGATCTCAATATATTTTTATTATTTTATTTTTTTTACTTTTAAGGAATACAAAAGATAAACAAATACAGTACTGTTCAAAAAACTATTCTTTTATTTAGTTAAGTATTTTTAAGTTTTTTAATACGTTTTTTGTAATATATATTGGATCTTTATATAAAAAAAGAAATTAACAAATGATGAAAATCATACACTTATCATAAAAATAACCAATACAACATTATTAAATTAAATTATGCAATAGACAGAGATGAAACAAATAATTACACAAATAATTACACTGATTAAAATGACAAGTATATTTCAAGTGGACCCATATATTTTTTAAAAGCTTTTTTATTAGTAATTAAATATCACAAAATGTTGTATTCTCAATATTTGTGGAATTTTATTAAATTTTATTTGTTGTATTTTTAAAATGTTGATGTTGTATGTGCCATGAAATGACCCGTGAAGCTGATAAACTTAAAATCTACTGTTACTGTACTACATTAAGTTTCTCCAGGTTACACTTGATTAAAATGTTGGTTTACAAATCTGCTCCTATACATAATTTACACATTTTTTTATTACACATTTTTCTTGTAAGAAATGCAAGGTTGTACATGCAAATATGAAAACACTGTGACGCCAACAACTTTTTAAAAAATACATTTTATTCCAGCATTTTCATTTTCCACAATTGTTTCATTCAGAAAACAACAAGTGACAGATTTGCCAAACAAACAAGTCATTAAATTAGTAATTAAAAGAAAATGAAAAGAAAAAAAATGAAATATTTTATGTACAAATAGCTTTGAATAGGCAAATGTCTTTCCTTACGTGTGTGTGATCATATATATACTGTAGCTAATAATCGAATAATTAGCCCTCATGCAATTAAAATAATTTTCAAATACTTCTAAAGTGCTGTTTAACGGAGAGATTTTTAAACCTAATGGGGTTTAAACCTGTTTTATTTTCTGTCTTTGCCTTAATGAGGGTGAACAATATTTTCCTAGTTATTTCGCAAGATACTATAGTAATGGGCTTAAAGTTAATTAGGTTAACTGGATAAGTTAGATTATTAAGATTAATCATTGAACAGCAGTGTTTTATTCTGTAGCCAATCGAAAAACAAAAAAGATAAGGGGTCTAATGACATAGATCTTTAAAATAATTTTTTTTTTGTATTTTTTTTATTCCAATCAAACTAAAAGAAATAAGACTTTGTCCAGATGAAAACTGTGAAAACTCTCTCTGTTACTAATAAAAGCGTCATAATTTGTCCTGGTAATTTCTAATTCTAAAGGAGCTGTTGACATGACATTGACCCAGATTTGGTAAAAACACAAACATAACAATCCAAACATACAATAAGAAAAATCTGTATGGATTTCCTTTTTGGTGCAATGAAGAGACACAAAGAGAAAGTACTGAACTGAAATGTATTTTATACGTTGTGAACAAGGATTTTTTTTTAGTAATGACAGCTTCTAGACATGGAGAATGATTCTGTGGGTCTCATCCAGTGCTTAATTTGTAAATTGCGAGGTCCCGGAACAGATCAGCTTAACGGATCTGGCATGTTACCAGAGGGAGGGAGTGGTAATGAAATATTTGTGCGTTGTGGACAATAGTGAAGAGCTTTGGGAAAGTGAAGAGGGGGGAGTCGCGGAAAAGTGTGATCGGTACAATGAGGTGCTGGATCCGGCACAAGTTAAGCTCTGGTCTATCAAATCTGATTTTCAGTTCTTATTTTCTATTGGATTTGAATAAGCTGAGCCATTCTAGCAGCTTTCTTTTCTTTTCTGAAACCATTTGAGAGTTTCCTTGGCTGTATTTAGACTGAGTGTCTTGCTAAAACATCCACCCTGGTTTCATCTTCATCATCTAGGTATTGAGACTGAAGCAGCGAATATTCATTTACACTGTCGAGGGGCAAGGCTTCTGAATAACTACTGAAAAACTTCAGCTGCCGTCTGGGTTTTCCATGCCTTTCTACACCTCCCTTTCTTCATGTGTTCAATACTTTTCCCCTGTGTCATTTCATTTTATTTAACATAACTTCATTTCTAAACTAATTAAGTTTTGTTTTCTTTGTATGCATGGATTACTCTAGTTGTTAGAATATTTTCTAAGGAATAACATGGTGAAAAATGGTTCAATATTCATTTTACCTGCTGTTTGCTAGTCATTTTGTCTTCAACTGTCATTATTTTGTGTTTTGCAGTGATCCTGCTACTTTGTCCTACTGCAGCTCTCAGTGGTCATTCAGCACACTCAGCTCAGTCACACAGCTGTCTGCTCACTGCTGCGGGTAACAAACTCTATTCATAAACTTCAGCATGAGATTTTTAAGCTGAAGTTAATTAAATCTCTCAGGTCGCCTTCATTTAAATCATGTGATATTTGTTCCATTTCTCATTATTTATTGCGTGTGGATTGTTCTCAGGTGGACGTCTCACCCACTAGTGAAGAAGAACAGACGAGTGGTTCTCGCCTCATTCCTCCTGTTAATCACTGGAGTTGGTAAGACTTTCATCCCTCTTGATCATAACAAGTAGTCGAGATCTCGGGGGGAAGGTGTTGTTTGTGTCTGACTTGTAAAGTGCTGTCTGTATTTATCTTGCTGTCAACTGTGATCTTAAGCACAGATGGTGAATTCAGATGTGATCGTCAGCTGCTTAGTAAATGTATTATCTTTCTTCCCCCCCCTCTCTGTGCCTCTTTCCTATCAGCTTTGATCTTTACAGGCATTGTCATACAGTTAAACCCTCACGCAGGTAAGCGCTGTCAGAGATAATGGCTCTAAATACAGATGAGATATAAACAAGATTGCTTTAGCACACAAACCTATGCGCACATGTTATGCAGTTAATAAATCAGTGCTCTGCATGCCTTAAAAGTCAGTCTCCAGTTTCAGATATAAAGGCCCGTACTGAGTGCTACTGTGAGGCTTCACACTGAATATGAAACTACTGTTCTCCTATGGCAAATGACTACTAACCACAACCATGCCATTTGCCCCCTTCCATTTGTATCCTATTCTAATTGTACATTAAAGGGATAGTTCACTCAAAGTTGAAAGTTTACTCATCATTTACTCGTCTATTGTTTTCAAGCCCTTATGAGCTTCTTTTTTTCTGTTGAATGCAAAAGAAGATATTATGAAGAATGTCTTAAACAAGTGATGACAGAATTCTTGTTTGTGTTTGAACGCTCCCTTTAACCCCATACACCGCTCAATATACAAAAATTAAAATAAAAATTTAAAACCACAAACACAAACTATCTACCATACTTGACATGACTTTAATAATCTATTAAACTGAATCCCATTTTCACTGCCATTTTTCCAGTCACTGTAACTTTTATTAGATTGCTCTTTGTTTTTTGGATATCAAAAATGACAAATGCTTGGCATGCTTTTTTTTCTTACGGAAAATTTCACCAATCTTGCCAAAAGTGTAACTGCAAATTTGGCACATGATCCAAAGCTCAAAATGTGCTCAAACTGACGAAGGGCAGGGCTGCCGAAAAACTACTGAAAGATTTCAGCTGCTGTCTGGGCTTTCCTTGCCTGTCTACAACTCCATTTCTTTATGTGTTCATGAAAGAGGATGAAAGATGCCTCATATAATTGGAAAAATCCATGCATTCTGCCATGACTGATCGCGGCTGGTGTGAATAGCTTCATAGGAATCTATTTTTTTGATTCAAAAGCGTCTTCGCCTCGTACTTTTATACTCCATGTGAAAGTGTCTTTAGGGTGCATTCACATTTGGTTTGGACAAAAAAAACAAACAAACAATTGGTTCTGGTTTGCATAATGTTTACTCTCATTCTTAAGATCAAAACTGAAGAAAAAAAATAATGTTTTTAAAAATGACAAATATTTTGCAATGGAACTGAACATCTAAAACATTGCTGATCTAAACGTATTTATTGTAACTTAATACATGTCATGATCATTTCATGTTGTGACTTATAAAAAAAGGGATTAATCACCCAAAACTGAAACTTCTGTAATCATTTACACAACCTTCGCTTATTCCAAACCTTTATAAGTTGTTGAACAGAAAATATATATTTTTTAAATGTTGGAAACCTGTAACCATTGACTTCCATAGTATTTGTTTTTCCTACTATGAAAGTCAATGGTTACAGTTTTCAAAATATCTTTCATGTTGAACTAAAAAAGGAAACCCAAAATGAATGGAACAGCTTGAGGGCAAGTACATTTTTATTTTTTGGGTGACCTATCCCTTTAAGACTCAAAACAGCAGCAGCATTTTCTTTACTGCACCTGACAATAGACAGCATTGGAATTGTGGCAAGAAAAAATCGTATTCTGACTTTTATGGTCATATCTTGTAACATCATGTGCTGTTTTTAGTTTGTTTAGATGTCTTTTGTCTATACTGTGTTCATATATCAGTTGACTGGCACCAGACCTCATCTGTAAGTGGACAGAGACCCACTTATTGAGTGGTCTTGGCCCACTTGTTTGTTACTCACCAAGGTCCGGATGGCAGATTCATACTTGTATACATGAACCAGACCAGTAATTACACAAGTTTATTTAAATCAAACCAAACCTCCCAAAGTTTGAACACACCCTAAATAACCAGTTTCATGTCAATTTTACAAGAGACTAGTCATAATGTAATGCCATTTAAGTAATGCTTATATTAATGCTCCTTTTTAGGTGTTTCGAGTGCAATTTTCTTTGTTCCTGGATTTCTCCTCTTCATTCCTGGTGGTAAGATCCAATTGGTTTTATTTTATGGAGCCAACTTTGTTTTAGTGTGTATCAGTAATGGATTTTGGACCTTAGATATTGTGTTATAAAATGTCTGTTACTGTATAATGCAGTCAAGAGATGTGCCCACAGAAAACAGACTTTAAACAAACAGCATTTTTAAAGGGATCGTTCACCGAAAAATCAAACTTGACATCATTTACTCATCTTCCACTTGTTCCATACCTGTTTGAACACAAAAGAAGATATTTCTAGCCACTTGTAACCATTGACCCCTATAAAACTACCTGACAAACGTCTTGTCGTTGATCCCAGTTGTAAGAGCAACAAATAGTAACTTGATTTCTTGTTGGTCATTTGGAAAAGTGGCAGAAGTTAGATTTCTGGTGAATCATCTGTAGAACTGCATCACAAATACTGCAGAAGACCTATTGGAACCCGCATGAACCCAAGATTTTCACAGAAATCAGTCAAGTTTGGTGAAGGAAAAATCATGGTTTGGGTTTACATTCAGTATGCAAGAGATCTGCAGAGTGGATGGCATCATCAACAGCCTGAGGTATGAAGACATTTGTGCTGCCTATTACATTACAAACAGCAGGAGTGGGCAAATTCTCCAGCAGGATAGCGCTCATTCTCATACTTCAGCCTCCACATCAAAGTTCCTAAAATCAAACAAGGTCAAGTTGCTCCAGGATTGGCCAGCCCAGTCACCAGACATAAATATTATTGAGCATGTCTGGGGTAAGATGGAGGAGGCAGTGAATATGAATCCAAAGAATGTTAATGAACTCTGGGAGTCCTGCAAGAACACTTTCTTTGCCATTCCAGATGACTTTATTAATAAGTGATTTGAGTCATTGCAGAGATGTATGGATGCAGTCCTCCAAGCTCATGGGAGTTATACACAATATTAATTCTTGCTCCACTGCACCATGACTTTATATTCTATACTGGACATTATTTCTGTTAAGTGACAAGACTTTTGTCTAAGCAAAGTCGGAGCTTATTGTCCAAATTAAATGATTAAAGATCAAGGCATGATCATATTTTATTTGGGTGAAATAAGCATAATCTAGAGGCCTTTACCTTTCATAAAAGCCACTTCTGATACCAAATGATCAAGTAGAAGTCAAATTATTATTGGTTGTTCCTAAAACTTGGATAGGCAAGACTTTTGTCAGGTAGTTAATAATTATCTACTATGGTTGTTAATAGCGACTGTTTTCCAACATTCTTCTAAATATCATCTTTTGTGTACTAAACACACCTTTACACCCATGCATTTTCAGTTTAAAATGCATGCAGTTTGTTACTGCTACATTTATCATCTACTACTCCAGCATCATCTTTGACCCTGTTTTAATTCCTAAACAGACATAGACAGACTGAAATTCAAGCCAAAGTCGCTCTGACTGATCGTCTGGATTATTGTGTATTGTTCCCTGATTAATTAAGCTCCTCTCATGTGACCATTACACCACCAGTAGACAGCTAGTTAGTGTAGATGCCGACAAAATATGCACATGCATAGTAAGAGTAAATGAATGGTCACTAATGCATTTTAGGCTAGATCGGTTTTCTGAAAGTAAAAAACAGCAGTCTGGATGAGTGTTTTCATTTTAAAAATGTTGTTTTAAAAAACAATACCGCACTACTGTGTATGGCAAGTTGAGTAAATGACACTTTTGATTAGGGCTGCACAATATATCAATTCACATCGATATCGCAATATGATCATTGGCAATAGTCACGTCGCAAGTATATGCAATGTTCAATTTGGATTATAATTGACCATTTTTCAATTGTTTTTTGAAGCCTGGGAGATTATACCATTTGTAACTTTGACAAATTTATAACTATTTTAAACAAAGACTATAAGGATTATTATTTTACATTTGATTATTCAATTACTGCATACCTGAATAGAGATCGACTCGCTGAAAACGCTGCTTATTTAATTGGTATCTTATTTTTTTTATTGAATTAATGCTTGTTGATTGTTTCTACAGAATTATCCCAATCAAATTAAAATCATAAATTCTTTCCAAATAGATATTCAACAAATCTAGTCAAATTGTATTCATATCGCAATTTTTTATCGCAGAAGAAAATATTGCAATGTTAGTTTTTTCCCATATTGTGCAGGCCTACTTTCGATTATCATCAGTGTGTTTTTAACCTAACTCAAATTTGAAAAGATAAAATTAGCATTTTTAATAAAATCTATCTATCTATCTATCTATCTATCTATCTATCTATCTATCTATCTATCTATCTATCTATCTATCTATCTATCTATCTATCTATCTATCTATCTATCTATCTATCTATCTATCTATCTATCTATCTATCTATCTATCTATATACACACAGTTGAAGTCAGAATTATTAGCCCCCCAAAATAATTAGAAAATTATTTTTTCCCCAATTTCTGTTTAACGGAGAGAAGATTTTCTCAACACATTTCTAAACATAAAAGTTTTAATAACTTATCTCTAATAACTGATTTATTTGATCTTTGCCATGATGACAGTAAATCATATTTGACTAGATATTTTTCAAGACACTTCTATACAGCCTTAACTAGGCAGGTTAGGGTAATTAAGCAAGTTATTGTATAACAGTAGTTTGTTCTGTAGAAAGAAAAAATATAGCTTAAAGCAGTCCTAATTTTGTCCCTAAAATGGTTTAAAAAAAAATGCTTTTATTGTAGCCAAAATAAAAACAAAAGACTTTCTCCAGAAAAAAAAACTATTATCAGACATACTGTGAAAATGTCCTTGCTCTGTTAAACATCATTTGGGAAATATGAAAAGAAAAAATTAAAAGGGGGTGAATAATTCTGACTTCAACTGTATATATCTGTAAAATCTTGGAGCTTAGAATACTTTGAGAAAAGCCAATTCTAGATGAAATGTGTTTTGTGGTTTTTATTCTGTATTGTACATTTATTTATTCATTCCTATTCTTGTTTGTTTGATCTTTACATGTGAATTTCTATTATGATTGAGTTTTTATTTCTGCGCATTAATCATTCTTCCATTATTTGTTTCATTTTTCTTTTTCCACTTTCTTAATTGTGCAACAGATACCTTGATATTGCACCTTGAATTTCTTATATGCTTTTATATAATAACAAAAATAACAAAAAAATGTAGAGGAAAAACAACTTAACCCTGTGCTCTTCATTTTTTTCAGTCTATCATGTGATCTATATAAGCTGTGCAGTTCGGGGACGAAGAGGATTCAAGTTTTTTTATTTGCCGTACTTTGAGAAGTAACAAAAGTTTCTCTTTACATCATCCAGACCAGTAGTCTGGATCACCGAGCATTTCAAATCCCTAAAAATGAAGTAAGGGGGATGACTTCTTTTTACAACCTCAGTTACTTGTGGTTTTTTTAAAAACTATTTCAACATTTGTTTGGTTGTAAAAGCCAGCCTGTATGCAATTCTAATTTCTACAGAAAGAACTAACAGCAGAGCTTCAACTGTGATTTACTGTCAAGTGCAACAATGTACAATCTTACTTCATCTGTGTTCACAGAATTTGAGAAGCCACATGTGATTGAGATTTTGTGTATTTAAATGTTCTCAATTCAGTGAAGCAAACTTCGAGTTCAGCAATTATTATAAGCTGGTTATAGATGTACAAAGTTTTGTCTTATGTAGTGCGCCATTAATAACATGAACTTGTTCACCACTAGCATTGTGTAGTGAAAATTAAATAATAGAAAACAAAGCAAATGACAAGAAGAAAACCAAGCAATTTACCATTTAGGCCACCACACACACGCACACATGCACTCTATACTTGTAAAACTTTGACTTTCATCTTCCACCTATTGTAAAATCATTTAAGATGCAGCAACCAAAGTGACATGCTTTTGGACTGAACGTTTTTCTTAACTATTACCACTACTAACACTTTAAACCACTGTTTTAGTCCTAAAACAAATGTGTTGAAAAGATTTTGTATTGTGTAATGTGTTTTTTTTTTTATCTTTATGACACTACAATAAACCTGTTTTTATATTTGCTTTTAAATCTCTGTGCTGTATTCATTCATTATGACTGTAAAAATACATTTCAAACTCATTAAAACAAAAAGAAGTCGCTTTGTAAAGATAATACACAACTCTAATCTGTTAAGCATCTCTATTCAAGTATTTCTAGCCCCACTGACACAGGAGAGCTCAACTTCAAGTAAAACTGTAAAACATCCCTAAGCAGACAGTTTAGTAATACAATAACAAAAAGAGAGACAATTTTATATGAACATACACAGAATCCCTTAAAACAGTGGTGTCCAAACTCATCCTGGAGGGCTGATGTCCTGAAGAGTTGAGCTCCAACCCTAATCAAACACTTCAAGTGAAGCAGCTAATCAAGCTCTTACTAGATATACTAGAACATGGGTCTCAATCTCAATTCCTGGAGAGCCGCAGCTCTGCACAGTTTTGCTCCAATCCTATCAAACGCAGCTGATCCAAAGAGTCTTGAACACCTTCATTAGTTGGATTAGCTGTGTTTGAGCAAAACTTTGCAGAGCTCCGGCTCTCCAGTAATTGAGTTTGAGACCTATGTACTAGATACGTCCTGGCAGGTGTGTTGACACAAGCTAAACTCAGCAAGACATCGGTCCTACAGGACCAAGTTTAAACACCACTGCCTTAAATGGTTAGTTCACCCTAAAAATAAAATTCTTGCTAATTACCCTCATGTGGTTCCAATTCCCTGAGACCTCCGTTTATCTTCGGAACACTAATTATTTTATATATAAATATAAGAGCTCCTTTATCATCTGTAGAATGTCCAAAAGGAACACACACACACACACACACACATATATATATATATATATATATATATATATATATATATATATAAACATAAACATTCCATAAGACCTCAGTGTGGTTAAACTGTAAGAGCTCTGCAAAGTTTAGCTTCAACCCTGATCAAACACAGCTAATCCAACTAATAAAGGTGTTCATGACTCTTGACCATCTCGATTATTTGAATCACCTGTGTTTCATCAGGTTGGAGCAAAATTGTGCAAAGCTGCGGCCCTTCCGGAATTGAGTTAGATTACCTATGCTGTAACCTAAAGCTTCAAAAACTATGTGTGCCAAACAATTTGTAAAAACTAATTTGTTTGCCTTTGTCTTCTAATGACATGTCAGGGTACTTTAGTTAAAACGCACCCTCCGGAAGACTCAGGCAAACAAAGTCTTTTTACAGTGTTTTTGTGGCACAAAAGTGTTCTTGGACCTTCCTATGATCACAGATGAACCACTGAAGTCACATTAATTTTTAAAAATGTTTTTGGTTCCTTTTCTAGACTTTGAACATCTCAGGACCATTGTTGTCTATCGAGGGTCAGAGAGCTCTCAGGTTTTATCCATAACATAGGTCTCAAATTCAATTCCTGGAGGGCCACAACTCTGCTCCAACCCTTATCAAACAGCTGATCCAAATAATGAAGGTGTTCATGACTCTTTTGAACACTTTGATTATTTGGATCAGCTGTGTTTGATAAGGGTTTGAGCAAAACCGTGCAGAGCTGCGGCCCTCCAGGAACCGAGTTTGAGATCTATGCTGTAATCACATAAAGCTCCAAAAACTCTTTTGTGTGCCAAACAATTTGTAAAAACTACTTTGTTTTCCATCGTCTTCTCGTAATGACATGTCAGGGTTGCACATTTTCTACAGGCAAAACAACGTGCTGCATCATGCAAGCATTATATTGACTGTGGTAAACACACCCTCAGGAAAACTCAGGCAAACAGTCTTTTTAACAGTGTTTTTGGAGCTTCATGTGGTCACAGATTAAATTTTTGAAAAGTTTTGGTTCCTTTTCTGGACTTTGAACATCTCAGGCCCATTGTTGTCCATGATCAGGTTTCTCTTAGGTTTCATCTATAACATGGTCTCAATCTCAATTCCTGGAGGGCCGCAGCTCTGCACAGTTTCGCTTCAACCCTACCAAACACAGCTGATCCAAATAATCGAGGTGTTCAAAAGAGTCATGAACACCTCAATTATTTGGATCAGTTGTATTTGATTAGGAATGGAGCAAAACTGTGCAGAGCTGCGGCCCTCCAGGAATTGAGTTCAAGACTAATGATCTAAAATATCTCAATTTGTGTTCTTAAGGTCTCAAGGCATTGGAACTACATAAGGGTGAGTAATTAAGAACATAATTATCCTAAACCAGGGGTGTCCAAACTCAGTCCTAGAGATTTTAGCTCCAACTTGCCTCAACACACCAGCAAAGACGTTTCTAGAAAGCCTAGTAAGAGCTTGATTAGCTGTGTCTGATTAGGGTTGGAACTAAACTTTGCAGGACCGGCCCTCTAGGACAGAGTTTGGACACCCTAAACTAACTCTTTAAGCATCTCTTGCAAACTCTGATCTCAACTTTGTGCTTTAGAAAAGCATCTCAAGAATTATCCTATAACATTGAATTTTTGATCATTTAGTTACATTGGCTGTCCACAAGTAAATGTTACTCTAATGCAAACTCGTGTTCTCCCAATGCTGCAGCATTCCTAGCTTACACTGACAACCCTGTTATCAACTGTCACATCTGTGAGGTAGACTTGATACAATTCTGAAAATGAGGTAGTGTGTTGCTGAATAATTCTGAAATAGAATTACCTAATATAACGGATTCAGATAGCTAGTTTGGTTTTTAAGCTGAACATCAACAAGATTGTTTTAGCACCTAGGAGCACTTGATTAATGCTGAATTATTAGCCGTAAGTGTATCAGGTGAGCAGCAGCATGTTGTATGTTTCAGCTGTCTTCACTGTAGTGTCGTGTCGTGTTTTGCAACAGAGAGGTCCACAGCTTTAGATGTCGCACTTGCCTGAGAAGTTGTGCTGCTGGTGAGATCTGGAGTGAGGGCTGGGCTCGACGGTTCTCCATCTGTGACATTACGGAAATTGAACAGGCAAGAAAACCATGGAGGAGTGTTATAAGCAACTAGGGGCGAGTCTTCTCTGGAGCTGGTTATTTTAAAATTCGTTTTTACTGATGTGAATAGTGTGTTTGGTGAGGACTGAGCTGATGGAGGGATCCTTAACACAGAAGCGCATGATGATTTTTGTGAAGATTTTAAAGACAGGTCCTGAGGAAGCTGAAGGGAGAAGAAAAACAGTTGATAAGTGTGGTTTAATGAGAACATGGATATTTCTACTTTACATGTCTATGTATACTCCTGTTTTTTTATTAAATAATTTAAAGGGCACCTATTTGACACCTTTTTCAAGATTTAAGACCTTTTGTCTCCAGAATGTGTGTGTAAAGTTTCAGTTTAAAACATCTACCACATTGTTTATAGTTCCTTTTAGAACTTTGAGATTTTCTGCTTTTAACACTTTGTAGCTGTTTTTGTTGCCTGTGCCTTTAATGCTAGTTCCCCCCCGCCCACCGTTCCCGCGTGCCTATCAGAGTGTGTCTGAGGCCCCATTTACACTAGTGCGTTTTAGTTTTAAAACGGCGTTTTAGATCAAAAACAACCCGCGTTCTCACTATCGTTTTACCAAGCGTCTTTGAACATATCTCTGTCCACACTACGCCACCAAAAAAGTATATCACTTGACCGTTCGTGCACTCTGGGCATGTGCGTTCTAGTATAAACAGAATGCATGCGTCTCGCTCGGCATTTGCTTATTGTTAGTCAACAAACGCCGGTTGAACATTAAACGCGATGGCAAAGAAAGAAAGAGAGGTATTTTTGTGGACAGACAACGAGGTCCAGTTGTTACTAAACTTAACAAATAAATAACTGCACAATGGCGCCTAAAACAGACAATAGTGCAAACAACGCTCCCATTTCTGTGCCCATGTTGTTGTTTACAGTACTGTCTTCCGGTAGCGTTAAAGCCATGTGTTATAGTCATGTGATAGACGCTTGACAAATGAGGGAAGGATACAGTGACGAAGGCAATGACACAAAAGCCCCAATCAGATAGCGGATCTCAGCAGTCCTGCCTTCGTTTTCAGATGTCTCCGTTTTTCCTCATCCACATTAAGACGGAGCAGCAGCGTTTCAGCATGAAAACAGCCTCTCCAGCGTTTTTAAAACGCTCCGTTTTCGGCGCTCGAGAACTCCGGCGTAGTGTCGTCCACACGTAACCGTAGCAAAACTTGTGCGTTTTAAAACGAAAACACATTAGTGTAAACGGGGCCTGAATCACTGGCTGCGTCAAATAAACAGTACTACAGTACAGAGAAGTACTACAGTAAGAACTTTCCCAATTATTATTTGATGAATGTGCTGTGGAGTTTCACCGATGAGTCACAAAATGTTTTTACAAAGTTCACACACACACACACGTTTGTTTTTTTGAAAAGTGGGTACATAACATAGGTTTCCATTCATTCTATACTGTTTAAACCGTATATTGCATTGCCCTCACCCCACCCTACCACTAAACCCAACCATCACAGGAGACAGTGTGCAGCTTTACTCTGTGATTTAACTCATCCTGTGGAACTCATAAGCTTTTTGAGAAATAAGGACATCACCAATGTCCACATATTTCACCTCCTTTTTCTAATACCCGTGTCATACCCATGTCATTATAAAGATTTGTGTCCTGATATGTCACAAAAACACGTACACACACTTTTGTTTAAATTTGCACTGTTTTTGCACGGCAAATGTGACTGGATACACATTAACATCCACTGCTGCATGGATACTCGTTATGTTAATGTACAAAATAAACCTGATTTAATGTCCACAAACCAGGATTGAAGCGTCTTCTTTTATAATTGTACTGACATGCAGCTGTAATGATAAAGACGGTAAAATTGTGCCAATTCATTACAAACATACACTTTTAAAAACGTTTTAAACTTGTAAAACTTATTCTTGATCACATTTGATGATGATTGATGATCACAGAGCGCTGAACAGATCTTTTGATCCCGGTTGCTCCGTGCACGTCCTGTCTTGTTGTTGATATGATTATACGTGTTACTACATAAACATGTTAATACATGGCTGTCAGTCAATTCTTTGGGA